AAAGAACAAATAATAATGAAAAAAAGGCATTATACATACCAGCTAAGAAAGAAAACAAAGGCTAAATAAAAATAATATATTACATAAAAAATAAAACTGGATGATTTGTTGACAAGAGACTGGTTGGTGAACTGTTTTAGATGTAATAAGCAAATGGTTAACTGAATTAATTATTAGGAAATGTGTGTTGGTAAATGAATGAAAGCCTTCTGCAAGCAGGACATAAGAGAATAAAAAGCATATAAAAAATTTTAGATCTCTATCAAGTTAGAATATGATTTTGAAAGATGAAAATTCTGAGAGAAGGACATTCTTGGATGAAAAAAATAAAAGTAGTAAATAAAATAAAAAATTAATAATCTGAGTGAATATAACACCAAGCATGCCCGGCTAAGGAAACGAGGAACAGAGGGATAGAAGAAAGAAGGAGGTTATCTACCAAGAAGGAGAGGAGATAGATTGAGGCCCAAGCATCATGGACCTTGAATACTACGAAACATCTTCTAATTTTCTAAAAATCTCTTTAAGCAGAGACTTGAAAAGACAATTCTCCAAAGATTTTATACAAGTGGGAAATAGTGTAACCCAAACATTAAGCATCCATATGTCTTAGAATGGCTATTAACAAAAAGCTAAAAACAGCCAGTGCTGGAAAAGCTGGGGGCAGGGGAGGGGGAGATTGGAAACCCTGTGCATTCCTCATGGGAATGGTAAATTCTGCAGTATCATGTTGGACATGACTCTGAAGGCACTTGGCGGTGCTTCACAAGAGCTGAAGGGAGAGGGAGAAGCAGCCCCAAAGCAAAATATGTTGTCATGTCACTAATCCATAAGAAGGGATGGGTCCTGTAATGTGCTACACTCTGAGTGACTCTTGAGACCATCACAGTAAGTGAAACAAGTGATGTAAGAAGTGACAAATAGTGCATATCCCACTGTGTGTACTCAAAGTCACAGGGTCACAAAGGAAATGGTGGTTGTGCTGGTTTGCTTTTGTGAATCTGCTATGAATCGTAGTCACCTGGGAAGAGGGAGGCTCAACCGAGGAATCGCCTCCATCAGAATGACCCATGAGCATGTCTATGGAGGGTTTTCTTGGTTGCTGTAGAAGGTCCCAGACCACTCTAAGGAGTGTCCTGAGCTGTGTAAGAAAAGTAGCTGTGTAAACAAGAGGGAGCAAGCAAGCAGACAGCATTCCTCCGTGGTCTCCGTTTCATTTCCTGCCTTAGCTTCTATCAATGACGGACTGTAATCTGGAAGAAAAAAAAAAATCTCTTCTCTCCCCCCTCCACCCCCAAGTTGGTTTTGGTTAGTGATTTATCATGACAATAGGAACCTAACTAGAATAAGAGTTAATTGGAGTCATGTTGGGAGAGAAGTGGAAGTTGTTTGATGGATCAAGAGTTTTAGATTTGCTTGATAAGAAGGTTCACAGATGTGATTTTCAGTGAATACACTTAACAATGCTACACACACACACACACACACACACAGCTAAAGATGATAAATGTTCTTTACCACAGTAAAAAAAAGATAATTCTTCAGTTACTTAAGTCCTCAAGTCTTACACTGCTATGTATGAAACAGATCATTTGTGTGACCATGTGGGCATGCACACGTGTGCACAGGCTCCAGGAAAACACCAATGATTGAATTTACAGAAGCCTTGTAGATCTTAGAGACATATTCCATACAGGGGAGTATAATGTAGTCTAAACAGAGATTTTGAAACCATCACCAGTTTCTGTCACTTTGAAGGTACCAGCACCTGTACCCATTCAGTGTATCCCATTGAATCAGCTTCTCAGTAAAATGCCTCCTCTAGGACGTCTTTTAGTGCTCTCTATTGGGAGCCCTGAGATAGCTCTAGAATACTGTTTACATTTACAAAAGGAACTGTATTTGACATGGATTAAGCCAAGTAGTCTTCAATAGCAAAGCCACAAGAATATTTAGTATTTAATAGTTTTTTGTTTCATTGTGATGTGACGTAGTTTTAGATATCAAATCACTGACAAATACTTAATCACCTTGTCTTAGTGTTCTATTGCTGTGAAGAGACACTATGACTACAGTAATTCTTTTATAAAGGGAAGCATTTAATTGGGGCTTACTTACAGTTTCAGGGAGTTAGTACATTATTTTCATGGTGGGAAGCATGGCAGCACACAGGCAGACATGGTAGTTGAGAGTTCTTCATCCAGATCTTCAGGAAGCTGGAAGAGAGAGACACTGGGCCTGGGTTAGGCCTTTGAAACCTCAAAGTTTCAAGGAAGTGACACACTTCCTCTAACAAGGCTACCCCTCCTAATCCTTCTCAACGAGTGCCACTCTCTGATATCTAAGCTTTCAAATATACAAATCTATTGGGCCATTCTTAGTCAAACCACTACACACCTTATCAATTATATTGAATATTAATTACTGAGATTTTCAAGTGATTTTAAATGTGTTTAACTTTGGAAGTCTTTTGTTTTAATTTTTGTTGTTGTTGTTGTAGAGATACGTTCAGTCTAGAAAACACTGGCTGAAACTCACTATGTAATCCAGGCAGCCTCTAACTTTCAGTAATCCTTTGCCTGTGCCTTTCAGTGCTGGGATCACAGCTTATGACAACGCACCTAGCTATTTGCTTTTGTAATTACTGCTTTTGCATTTTAGAGTTTGCACACTCTAGTTATCTATATTTTGTGTTGATATGAAATGCATACTCTAGAATGTACAAAATTGGTTTACTGTAGACGTTCTGACCTTAAAATAATTTCATAGATTTTTAGACAGCATACTAACTGCATTAGAGCTCCTTCTGAGGAAGAAGGTCACATGATTCTTATCACATAATCAAGGAAATTTGCTTTGAGAATGTATTTATTGCTTACTAGTTATAACAGAGTGGTCTAAGCAGGACATACAGATTTCTACAAAACAAATATGCTATTTAAGCAACTATAGCATTCATAGCGTCAACATGTTAACAGTTGTTCAGTTCATCTACCAAAGTGTTTCAAACACAATATTGTAATAGTGTCTGTCTTGTTTGTCTCTGAATCCCTAGCATAGTAGCTGGTACCTTGAAAGTGTCAATAGCATTCTTATTTTATTTTTATTATTTTTTATGTGCATGGGTATCTTGCCTTCATGTTACTCTGTTCACCACTCGTGTCCCTGGTGCCCTTGGAGGTGAGGAAAGAGGACATTGGATCCTTAGAACTGGAGTTTCAGGCCTTTGGGAGCTGCTGCAGAATTAGGAAGGAATTGGGTTTTCTGGAACAGCTGCCAGTGATCTCAACAGCTGAAACATCTCTCCAGTCAGTAAGTTATAACTGGCTGGGAGATGAATTCCTCAGAACATTTAAAAAGTTGCCTCATGTCATCCCCTTCGGTAGAACTACATTCTTAATGTGCAATAAAAATATTAAAATTATAATATGTTACACAAATTTCCCACAGCCCTGAAACAACTGAACAGAGACACAGAGTTGCACAGACTTGCCTCTCACATGCTGCTAGCATCAATCTTTGCTAACGCAGCTCGGATGCCACGTTGAGCGGCTTGAACTCCTCAACCTTTCTCTCTCAGTTATTAGAGTTTAATTTATGCACTTTAATGAATTAATGTATGTGCAGGCGGTGTTTTGATTCTACTTAGTAAATAACAAATGCAGTTACTGACTTTCCTTCTGATTAATAATCTCCAGTTTTCAGATTCAGTGGGCTTTAAGTTTAGAAAAGAGGTCACATTCATTCCAAGAGTCAGCACAGTACCTGGTGTAATAATTAATGAAAAATTATTATTTATACAACTGTTTGGGAAACGTTATGCAGGTTTTTGCTTTGTTTTTGAGATAGGATCTTATCCTGTAACCCTGGCTAACCAAGGACCTACTATGTAGCCCAGGATGTCCTCAGACTTATGGTGATCTTCCTGCCTCTGCCTAAATGATGGAATCATGTGGGAGGCACCAGCACATAGTGTAACTAAGGTATATGTAGTCACAACCCAACAGTTTCTCGGAATACAGAAATAAGGCCCTTGACATCAGTGAAGTAACTTGTAACTCCTCTGAAAAGCAAGGATTTTTTTTTATGGTAATTAAAGAATTTGTCGTGAATCTTGTCGTAGCTACTTTTCTATTGCTGTGAGAGGACACCAGGACCAAGGTAACTAATAAAAGGAAGTGTTTAATTAGGGGGTTGCTTACATAATCATCACAGAGGGAAGCATGGCAACAGCTAGGCAGCAATGGTGGAGCAGTGACTAAGGATTTAAACATCTTATCTGATGAGACTGAGCCTGGTGTGTGGGCTTCTTGAACCTTTAAGCTCACCCCCCAGTGAGACACCTCCTCTAACAAGGCCACACCTCCTAATCCTTCCAATACTGACCACCAACAAGGAACCAAACATTCAAACCTAAGGACCTCAAGTCCTGGCACATGGACAGCAGAGAGGACCATCATGAACCCACAGCCCTATTCTCCCCAGCTTCATAGTGATGCTCACCTCTAAGACAGTTTTCATGTTCGCCTTCATCAACACAGCTCAAGCTGAATGGAGGGGCAGTTGCTTCTGAAGTCTCTGCATTAAATGGCGAGATACATTTGTACCAGGCAATGCGAGAACTCATCGGAAGTGAAGGGGATGTGTGTCTTTGATTTTTAAAAACATACATCCATCTGCAAACTTTCATGTGGCAATAAAGTTCACATGCAGACTCTCAGCCTCTGTACGTGGAGCAGCAGCTCTGTGATGTGCCAGGTGTGGGGAAGCACTCCTACGCTCAGCCAGGGACATTTTGCTCACAGAGTAATTATATCAGAGGCATCTCTTTAAACAAATAATTTAATTTCTGTTACCACATTTATCAAGTCTTAAAGCACATAACTTCCTCAGAGTATTAATGTACAACATACTCTTTGGGCTACACAGTCAAAAAGCTATTCCAAACATAGAGATAAGCTTCTACTTGGAATTAATGCCCCAAATAAAAAACCAACACATTTGTTTAGACCTTTATTGACACATGAAAATTTGGGTCAAAAGTCAAATTACTATAGAAGGAAAACTCTTCCTGTGTAAACATAGGGTAAACTGGGTTGGTTTTCAAGTAAGATCATCAACCTTGTGATTCAAGAGGATTTTAGCAATTATCTCGTCTATAAGAGTGAACACAGCGTCAGACTCATGCTCGGCATACCATAGCATGCTGCAGAAATAGGATGTCACAATGCAGGTTATGAGTTATCCCCCCCACCCAAATAATCAAGCTCCATGAATTTACACCTTTTCTGAGGAAAAGATTAGTTTGCCAGCTAAAGCTATACTTCATTTTCCTTATTATTCGTTGTCCTAGTCAAAGAAGAGGTCTCAGTGGTCTTTATGTTTTCACAAGTATGCCTGTGAGAGTATCAGCTCTGGTCTCCCGCGGGACCACTTTGGAAAGAGTTGGATTATACACAACACAAACTCACATCAGGTTCTCCTCCAAGTCAGAGGGTGTTTGGTCTCAGAAAAAAAGCAATTCAGAAAATCAGTAGTTACCAAAAAGCTACTGGGAAACAGATAGCTTGTCTTGAAACCTTAACATTTAAATTTCATGACTAGCGTTTTAGTATAGCATTTCAAACATCACTGAACCCTGTCCACTGCGTAACGAGTCTTACTTATTTTGATTCAGCTCATTCGTAACATCTATTAAATAAGATCGAATTACAAATCTAGTCTTGATGTTGGCATCGTTTGCAAAGCTTAAAAATGTGATATATCAGGTCTTACAGGGTTTAAAGTTTGAAAAGTATACTTTCAAATGTGAACTTTTAATTTCCCTTGTGCCTTTAGACCTAATATAAGACACTTGCTTCAAATGTTTCTCCTTTAGCACTATAACCTGGGTAACTGCTAACATGATTGTTAAAGATTAGTGAATTGTTTTAAAAAAAAATCAAGTGTTAATTTCTGGTTCTATACTTTTGCTAAGCAAAATATTTAATTCTTGCTCCACATTTTTAGTAAGAAGTCGTAGTAACAGACAAAATAAAAAAGTACTTTTTGTGACCTTATATTGTATTGTTTCATGTAAGGTGGTTACATTTATTGGTAATTCAAATTATGTAGATTTTGTGGAATTGAAAATGTGGAAATTCGGCAATTTCTTACAACAATCATTGTGAATGACTTCCAGGTAGTCTATCTTCCAAACAGTCTATTATTACAAGTTAGTGTCTGCTAAAGTGCTGCCTTAGTACATAAACAAAATCTTATGCCCCTAAAACTGTTCATCTCAGGTCTTTACATACCTCACCATGCCTGAGAGAGGATGAGATTAAAACATCAGTCATGGCTCTGTACTCCAGATGTGCTTATTTCATGACATACTTGTACAGATTGTCTCTCAGGAGCAGCAGCACTATGCAGCTTACTGGAGGTACAATGTACTGCCCTTCTCAGTGCTGATGCTGCAGACACGTCAGGCGGATGTACACAGCTGAGGTGTGTTGACGTTCTTGATTGATTTTAAGTCAAAGACCAATGACCATTGCATTTCCAACTTAATTTTCATTTCTTGAAAATGGTAATTAAGTGATAATAACATCAACATTGCTAATTTTCACTATCCTTACTATCTTTCAGATTTATTTACTTTTAATGCTATGAGTATTTTGTCTGCATGTATGTATGAGGACTACATGCACGCAGGGACCCTGGGATCCAGAAGTGGGTGTCAGATCCCCTGGAACAGGAATTAGATACAATTTTGAGCCACCATGTAGATGCTGGCAATGGAACTCAGGTCTCCTACAAGAGAAGCAACTGTCATATCTCCATGACTGAATGATATTTATTTAATACTTAAATTTTCCCTTATGTCCTTCATTGCCAACAATTCCATTTCTGGTCATCTACCTGGTCCACATCATTTTAAAATTGACATTATATCCCAGTTAAATTTAAGGGCCTATAGTGATGATAGCACTGGATCAGAGGGTCATGAAACCTTCATTGATCTCTATGGCTCTTCCAAAATAAATCTTGTGATTAAAGTAAATCTGAGTGTCTGTTTTCTCAGAAGAAAATAGAACAAAAACTTGTATGCCTTAAAAGATTGCTTCACAGACAGAGTAAGATAAAATGAATGTAGGAACATAACTGATTTCCAGGATCAAGGAAATTTAGGACAGCAATCAAGTTTCTAAAATGCTTTTTTGGGCACCAAACAAACAGTATTTCTGGATAGAAATTGTAGTAGATAGCACTGCAGAGTCAAGCAGCAGCCAGATCAAGCATTGTTCAGACCCTCCTCTTCTGTACAGGCAATTCTCTTTTTAAAAAGTAAAATGATTTGTTCTTAAGCAAATACACTTTTTAAATTTTTTCGTATCTGTATCAAGATGCTCAAGGTATGAAAAATTTAAATATAGTACTTTATACTTGTCTAGCCATGCTTGTTTTCAACCACTCTCATTAAAATACACCTTTTTAGACTGAAATTATGTATCAAACTGCCTCTCATTTTGTACACAGATTTAGTTGGCCCCTAGCAATGCTGATTATCGATTCCAGGTATTGTACCTATTGTACCTATTAACTGGGTTGAAAGACTCTCAAGGTTTTAATTCTACACAGCTGAAATCAGCCCTCCTGGTGCCTTTGCTGTTTTGTTTTAGGGCATTCTCCCACATGAAGAACCCCAGGCTACACACTTTCTTCTAATCCTAGAAAGTTCTGCTTTACAGTTGAGTTAGTCTTTCACTGGGTACTAACCTCAACTAACACATTTGCTTTTTGCTTCATTTGAAAAGTCATCATATATTTCCTCAATGCCAAAATCATACAAAATACTTTTTTTGCTGGCTTGCTTTCTCTGCACTTAGCTTAACATACTGCATGCAGTAAAGAGAGAGTCTCTGAGGCTTCACCTAGACGTTAACTTGAAAAAATGTCAAGATAAGTTAGGATGTCTTCTCTGCAGTTTGGATTGTTTTCAGCACCGAGTCTTCACCCAAAATTTTGCATAGTTCATTGAGTCTCTGCTGCATTTTGGGAATTCCAGCGAGCTGCGACTCCAACTTCTGTTTTTCCTCACTTAGCGTTAAACGGATAGCAGTGTCCAGCTGTTCAAAGCGCCAGCCTCCTTCGCCATCAAACTGTAATAGATGAGTGTGGTATTTCCTGTGTAATTAAAATGAAGTGTTATTAGTCATAATTTTAAAAGATGTTTTAGTTATAGAGCTTTCTAACTGATATTCAAAGACAAAATTTAGTAAATGTGGCTATTTTACATTTTAATTCTCATGATATCTCAGATAAACAGTGGAATTGCTAAAGTCTAAAGTCTTTCATATGTATGAAATTCTTCTTGATGTTCCTGAATTTGTTTAATATTTTGAGTGCATATAATTTACAAAGGAAGACTAATTAAAAAAAACAATTACTTTATTTTTATATGAGTATACTGTAGCTGTCTTAAGACACACCAGGAGAGGGCATCAGATCCCATTACAGATGGTTATGAGCCACTATGTGATTGCTGGGAATTGAACTCAGGACCTCTGGAAGAGCAGTCAGTGCTCTTAACCACTGAGCCATCTTCTCAGGAAGACCATTCTTGTATTGATTTACCCTCATAACATCTTCTGAATAAATATGTATTCTGAATAAATAATGAAGCATACTTAGAACAGAAGGAAAGGAAATCGAGGAAAGAGTACACTTTAAAAGACCACACCAAGAATGACTAAGGAAAATGAAGAAAACACAAAAGAAATGTATTTATATATAATACCATCCTCTGGGATGAATTCTACATGAGTACAGCTTTCTCAGTAATAATAATTTAGAATCATTTTTACATGACTGCCCACAGAAGTCTTTTAGAAACATTCTCTTAAGGCCACATAGATTGCTTCTTCTCCCATGGTTCAGCTACTTAGGAGCTACATAAAGGTACAGAACTGAAAGGTGGGAGGCAATCCATCCCTCTCCTAAGGGAAGCCCAGGCCACTAGCAGAGGATTGTGGGATGGGTGGAGAGACTATGGCTGGCAGAGTTGTTCCAGTCATGAGTTACCTGTACTTGGTCACTTAGCTTAACTGGCTCATGGATTTTCACTTTTTCTGTCTTCAGTTTTTCATCCTACTTCAAGTAATTATTTAATATGAACAGTCAGCCTTTTCAACCAGCTTCTATCTTATATGTGGGTGTGAGCTGTTAGCCTTCAATAAACAGGCTGCAATCCTTAAAACCACAGAGGTTATGTCTAGAGCAGTGGGGAGGGAAGGAACTCCAAAAGAAAGGGAAATAGAATAGATAGTTATGAATGGAAGAAAGGGCTGGAATCAGAGGATTAAATAGAGGTGGGGGGGAAGAGGGAGGTAAAGTAGGACACGGGGAGACAGGTAAGACTAAGGGACATTTGAGGGCTATGGGACACTATCACTGTAGACATTTCTTAAAATATATACATATATAAAAAGGAAATCTGAATGGAATCATCACATAATGATGGAGACAAAGCCTTGACATTGACATCATTTGTCACCAAATGAAACCTCCAACACCAGGGATGGGATACATATAATTGTGTTGTTGTCCAAAGGGGCCCCATGAAAAACCCCAAACAACTCAGGCCGAGTCTGTTGATTGCTCTCCACAAAGTGATAGTAAAGCCCTTTTGCTGAAGACAATACCTACATGACTCATTAACTATGGAGATGTCCAGCTAGTGCCACCCTAGAGAGTTTGTCACTACTGACTAGTGTTTATATCATGGAACCGGGAAGTACTCGGCACATTACCAGAGGAGACAGGTAAACCCACCCAGCTATAAAACCTGCGCCAATATGAACACCACACAGTGGTGAACTTCTTGCATGATATGCTAGCGAAATGGTGGTGCAAAATTTGTGGGAATAACCAACCACTATCTGCTTGAACTTAAGGTTCACTCCATGATATGGAACTCATATCCAACACAGCTTGGTTGTCCAAGAACCTAAGACTAGATAGGTCATGACCTAGAGTTAAACCAAATGCTACTGTTCTACTAAAGGAACTAGCAATATAATGACTCCTAATAACATTCTGCTATATTCATAAATCAGCATTTTGCTCAGCCAACATCAGAGAAGCTTCCTCCTGCAGTAGATGGGAACAGAGACCCATAGCTGAACAACACACGGAGAGTATGAGACATCGGAACATTCAGTCCTATATGAGACGTCTCCATCAAATTCCTCCCCTCAGGGGTAAAGGAGCTCTATAGAAATCGATGCTGAAAGAATTGAAGAGCCAGAGGGAAAGGAAGATTCCTAGGAAACAAGGCCTTCTAGATACTACAGGACTGATGCACACTGAACTCAGAGACGGTGGCAGCATGCAGAGAGTCTGCACAAGAGGCCAAAGCCAGGTAGGGTTTCAGCGCTGAGGGGAAAGTAGACACAAACTGTCATCCCTAACTAAGAAGCTATCTCCATTCACAAATCACTTGCAAATAAAAAAATACTTTTCTCGAACTGAGTCTCACTGGGAATATAAACCACACGTTAGGGCAGGTACAATGGGCAGCAACAGATGGCCAACACAAACCAAACTCAATGGCATTTCTGGAGGTTTTTTGTCTTGTAATGCTTTGTCTGAGTATTTAATTTTAAACCTTACAGGTCTTATATATTATTGCTGCTGATTTTGTGATTTTTATGGGATTACTACATGAGCTAAAGTGTGTGTTTACATCTGTATGTAGTTTTGGGTGCATTTTCTTTGGTTCTTTTTCCCCCCTGTTTGTTTGTTTGTTTGTTTTTTGTTGCTGTGCCTGCTGGCTTTTCCAATGAGAGAAAGCATGTGGATTGGGCGGGTAGGGGGATGGGGAGAATATGGGAGGAGTTGGGGAGAGGGGAAACCATGATCAGAATATATTGTATGAAAAAATTATATTCAATGATAAAAATGTAGATTGTAAAATATTGACCTTCTAACAAATAAGACCATATAAAAATTAAATTGAAAACAATGTATTTATATGTCAAGCTGGAGAATACAAACAACAAAACAACGCCTCCTAACCCTAATCACTAAACTATGACGGCTAAGGACAGTGGGACGGCTTACTGTGTTAAAGGTACTTGCTGAGTGGCTCATTCCCCTTTAAGAGGATGATACTGTTTATGATGTCTGACGTCTCCACTGATTGGTCATTATTGTTTGAATAGTTATGAGATTTTATGCTTACTCCTACCAGGTTCTTTTTTTTTTTTCTTAAAACAAACAACAAAAAAAATAAACTTTATTATTTCTATTTGATTATTTTTTATTTCCTGTGATTCCTCTAACATGATAATTTTAGAAATACTAAGTTTAGAATTTTAACATAAATTTTGCAGTCATATCCTAACCCTAAACCTAACCTGCTCCATAATCTCTCACAGTACATTCTAGTATTATGATAAATATTTTTTAGTACAGATCAACCGTCAGATTCTCCTGTAGCTTTTCAAAATGACTAGAGGGTGATGTTCATTTCCACATAACACATTTAGGTTCCATTAGGCCAGAGGGAGCTAAAGTGTTGGGGAGAACATCAGAGAAAAACAGTTACAAAAAAATTGAGATATTTTATACTCTTCACAGAAAAACTTAGCAAGGCTATCTTCTAAGAAGATACAAAGCATCCACCCCAGAGGAGGATGCCATGAGCACTTACCACAGAGAAGGCCTGTGTGTTATGGATAGTAAGGAAATCCCAGCCCCGATAGCAGCCTGAAATATCTTTCCTTCAACGTCGATGCTCACGGCACTGGTACACTCATCCAGCAACGCGTACTTCGGCCTGAAAAAAAGAGTACAAATAACTGAGTTACAATCATCCAGCAACATGTACTATGGTGTAAAAAACAAACAAACAAACAAACAAACGACTGAATCTGCTGTGGTACTGTGTCTCCCGTTGGACAACAGTCATAGCCTGAAAACTTCGGAGGGGCTAAGAAGAATGCAACATGGTTCAGGCCGGTAAACAATAAAGCAAAAAAGCAGCTGTTCTTTTATTCCGCTGGGCCAGCAACCCAGCCTGGCTTAGCTGACAGGACTAAAGCCAATGTGAACACTGTCATTTGATGTTTTCATTTTAGTTTTGAAAATTAGTTTCAAAACATTCCGGGGCAGTTTTCACCATGAAATTATTTTTATTTATCTATTTTTGATTTTTTGAGATTCTAATATAATTATATAATTTCTCCTTCCTATTTCCCCCGCCAAATCTTCCCATGTACCCCACCTTCTTCTACTTCAAATTCATGGCCTCCAACACCAAATCAGTAGAAGTATCTGATTTTACACAAATGATTTCTTAGCATCGTAAGTTTTTTTTCTAACATGTGCTTGTGTATTAATTGGACACTGTTACCTATTCTGGAGATGGAGGTGAAGGCTGGCAGAAGCAAGAGTTAAAGACATTTCTTTTTTCATTAATTAATTTATCTTTTAAAAAGTTTTATTTTTATTTTATTTATTTACATTTCAAATGTAATCCCCCTTCCCTGTTTCCCCTCTGAAAGTCCCCATCCCAGGCCCCTACCCCTGCTTCTATGACGGTCCCCCCCCCGCCCTAGCACCCCCCTACGCTGGAGCATCAAGCCGTTTAAAGGCATTTCTAATGCTCTGTTCCTTAGGATTGTGAAAGTCTCTAATGATCACTGTACTTTCCCCAGGACAACGGTGAAGCAGCTTTGGGGGTTGGTTATTATATATCAAGTACTGGTTTTCTGTGTGTTAATTACTGTTTGTGATTTTATTTAGATAGAAAAGGCGAAGAAAAGTATGCAAGAGAAAGAAAATTTAGGTAAAATCTTCTGTTTGCATAAAGCTCTTCTCCACACTGTTCATCGTATTTTGTGCCTTCCTTTTTAGGGTGCTTGGAGCTAAAGAAGATTTTTGAAAAAGAAAAAAAATGTATATTTTATGTTCTGTTGTCATAGCAAGTCATAAGGACTGTAAGATGAGTCATACACATTTGTCTCCTTGGCAAGGTTAGGCTGTGTGTGTGTGTGTGTGTGTGTGTAAATACACCAAACAACACAGCAAGGACTAGGCACTTGTAGAACTAATACAGTATTAAATGACATCATCTCTTAGATTTTTGCTTCTTTTTCTCCCTTTACTGAATCACAAATAGTGTAGGATATGTCAAGGCAGAAACCTATCCCCTCAAGCCAGAATTTTCCTGGTCATTCTTCAAATATTAGAATTATAAGGCTCCCATAAAACATATTCTATTGTAATGCTTTGTACAGTTTCTGACTGGAGTTCTCCATTGTCGCCAGCTCAGACCTTTCCTATCAAAGCTCAGTATGTGTTATAATCTCACTGTCATAACCGTATTGACCCTGAGAACATGGGAAGAGGCAATGCCTCAGCATTACCCCGTTCCTTTGCTGGCTTTAGCTTTCTAATTTATTTGATTCATTTGCAAGAGCACTGCATTTTTTAAAACCATTTGCTTGTCCTTGATCTCACATAATTCATTCAATTTTCACTCATTATTATGGTATACCTGATATATTTTACAATCACGAATACTGACTAGTCCGATACTTGAAATATTGGGTTAAATGCTTTCTTTATTGATGTCTCTTGTTCTTATTGAAGGGCTTATCTTATTAACACAGAGACTTGGAAAAATGGTCACTTTTGCAGTTCACTACCTCAAAGGCTGAGCTGCTGATCATATTACTGAGTATTTATGGACGGAACCCAAGCCAGTTCCCAGAGACGAGCTAACAGCTGGTCAGAAATGTCAAACTACAGTGTGCCCTTCAGTCTCCTTGGAGAGGGCAGCATTTCAAAGCACAGCATGAGAAATCTGCAGTTGGTAAAATTTGTTCAGCTTTTAAAAAGTACCCTCTATCCTTAGACTAACAACATAAGTTTAGTATAAGTAATACATATGTTAAGACATATACTGAGACAACTAATTTTTCTCACTAAAAATCACAGCAATACACAAAACTATATAGTGTATGACTTCACTTACATGAGAGTGTGAAGAAGATAAACCAGCAAGAGCAGAAGTAGGTATATGTAGAACATGAAAGAAAAGGGGACAGAAAGCCCTTTTCTGGGTAATAAAAATATTCTCTATCTTGGATGAGACATTGGGTGAGATATTACGTTACTTAATGTACCTACATTTGTAAAAACTTACTGAATTATATACTTAAAATATACTCAGTATGTAATTATTAAAATAATCATAATAAAGTCTGGCCAAGCATCATATAGTAACAAAGAAAGGCATATAGTTGCATATGATACCATGTGAAACATATAAGCATAAGGGGTATAAATTATAAATTATGAATCACATGAAAACAATTAAGATTACAGCCAACTATGTGGACTAAGACCAGGAAGAAATTTGTTCAAAATGTTAACATTGTTTTCTGACAGCTATTGAGATAGGAAATTTTGAATTCTTTTTATTTATCTGTGTTTCTTAAATAAGCATATACTTATGAGTATACTTTTTTGATGACAAACAATATGTGCAATCATCGCCTTTAAATACTGGAACCTATGAAGGCTGGACACCGAGTGTGGGGGAATTTGAGGGTGGGGAGGTGGGGGTGGGTGGGGCCACATCCTCATAGAAGCAGGAAGAGTGGGGATTGAATGGGGGGTGGGGGGGAGGAATGGGGTAAGGAGATAACATCTGAAATGTAAATAAAATATCAAAAACAAACAAACAAACAAAAAACCCCCAAAAAACTGGAACCTAAATCTAACCAATCAGTTTTGCTCTACTCGCCTGCTTTTCTGAAGACTGGGAATGAGAAGAACAGGATTATAAGCCAACAGACCAAGTGAAAATGTACAGCATCCTAAATGACAAGAGTCAGTACACTGAAATGTGGGATAGAAAAACAATGGCTCAGCTGGCAAAGCTTTCAGCTGCCAAGCCTGACGGCAGGAGTTTGATCCCAGAACTCACAAGGTGGAAGGAGAGAACTTATTTCCTGCAAATTGTCCTCTTATATGCAGGTGAGACACATATACACACATACACATGTGTGCACATTAACACACATGCACACACAAATATGCATGCATACATGCTGAAAAGATATATGGGTGGAGGGACGGAGAGATAGATAATATATAGGTGATAAAAGGTAGATAGATGCATAGATAGATAGATAGATAGATAGACATTACATACATACATACATACATACATACACAGATATATAGATAGATATATGGATGGATAGAGATGACAGATAGATAGATAGATAGATAGATAGATAGATAGATAGATAGATAGACATTACATACATACATACATACATACATACATACATACATACATACACAGATATATAGATAGATATATGGATGGATGGAGAGATGATAGATAGATAGATAGATAGATAGACATTACATATATACATACATACATACACAGATATATAGATAGATATATGGATGGATGGAGAGATGACAGATAGATAGATATAGATAGATAGATAGACAGACAGATAGATGATATATAAAATGTAATAATAAAATTAGACTGAGGCAGGAAGGGGCAAAGATCAGACTTTTAAAGATTAAAATGTAATTGAGAGAACAACAAACTATGTTTAGCCGGCTGTAGTGTAACATACTGACGACCTCAGCTCTCAGGAGAGAAAAATTTCAAACCATTCTCTACTGTGGCAAGATCCGTAAGACTGATCTTGTGTTGAATAAATAGGTATCAAAAGGGTTTTAGGCCACAAGAGAAACTTGGAGATTAAGTCACTCTGAAAAATTATTTCTAGTTTAACTACATTACTATGGTTAAAAAAAAAAATCCTCTCATTTCAGAGAAGAGTGTGACAAACAGAACGGATGAATGAGGACATTGTCTGGATTTCCTCCTTAGAACTTAGGCTTAGAGTTCTTTAAGTCTATAAAGCTGAGGTCACAGAGAAAAGCTTTATAAAAAATGATTTCTTGTCCATCTACTGGCGGTGGTCTCTTCAGGTTCCATCTCTCCACTGTTGGGCGTTTTGGCTAAGGTCACCCCCAGTGAGTCCTGGGAGCCTCTCACACTCCAGGTCTTTGGGACTTTGTAGGGTCCCCCCCGCAACCCCAGCAGCTGCATATGTCCATTCATTCTCCTGGCCCTCTGGGCTTCTCTCCTGTCTCCCCCCATATCTGATCCTGTCCCTCTTATCTCACCCCCCACTCTTGCACCCAGGACCCTCTCTCCTTCTGTTTCCAGTGATTATTTTGTTCCCTCTTCTAAGTGGGATTGAAGCGTCCTCACTTGGGCTTTCCTTCTTGTTAAACTTCTCATGGCCTGTGGGGTGTACCAATGGTATTCTGTACCTTTCATCCAGTAACCACTTATCATGGAGTACATATCACGAATGTCCTTTTGGGTCTGGGTTACCTCAAGACAGGGCCCCCAGGGGATGGGGCCACCTACCCATTTTCAAAATTTTTGACCCAGAATTGCTCCTGTCTAAAAGAAATGCAGGGATAAAAATGGAGCAGAGACTGAAGGAAAGGCCACCTAGTGACTAGCCAGCCCAACTGGGGATCCATCCTATGGGTGGGCTCAAATCCCTGACACTATTGCTGATGCAATGTTGTGCTTGCAGACAGGAGCCTGGCATGGCTGTCCTCTGAGAGGCTCTACCGGCAGCTGACTGAGACAGATGCAGATACTTACAGCCAACCGTTGGACTGAGGTCAGGGCCCCCTAAACAAGAGTTAGGGGAAGGACTGAAGGAGCAGAAGGGGATGGCAACCCCATAGAGAGACCAACATTCCCAGAGACTAAGCCACAAATTAAAGAGCACACAGGGGCTGGTCCAAGGCCCCCAGCACATATGTAGTAGAGAACTGTCATGTCTGGCCTCAGTGGGAGAGGATGTGCCTAATCCTGTAGAGACTTGATACCCAGGAAGGAGGATATGCTCTCAGAGGCAAAGGGGGAGTGAAGAACTCTGGTAGTGGAGACCTGCAAGGGGGCAACATTTGGGATGCAGACAAATAAAATAATTAATTAAAAATTATTTCTTGCATCTCAATTTTTCTGAGTTCACTAAGATGTGTGTGAGCACTTTTTTTTTTCACTAATTGTAACTCTTAACAGTTGAGGATGGAAAATTCGTTTAAGAGACTACTTAAACTTGATTTAGATCCAACTGAGTAATTCTGATGCTTTATTTATAATTAATTATATATGGATTGCATATAAAATAATGTATATGCTGTATAGTTATTGATAATGTATTTCAGGGAGTCTGATTTAGATCCAATTCAGAGGAATTCCCAAATGTGCAGCAACTGGTTTAACCAGATACACAGCAGTTATATATTCTAAATCGCACTTTAAATCTAGTAAAAATCCTATTTTAAATTTTAGAACACATAAAAATTTAATCTAGCACTCCAAACAGTCTTCTATCTACGCCACTCAATAGAAATCAGCTAAAAACTAAAACACCTGGAGAATCCAATGCTATAAAAAGTAAGCTAGCCTAAAAGTAAAGATTTTACACACCTATCGTAAGATACATTTTTTCAACATGCTATTCAGTCCCTCTGTCTTTGGTCTTAATGTGCTTTACGGATTTATTGACTCCCTGTCACTTACCTGTATGTACGTGTGGGAGCCTGTGTGAGTGTGTTTGCCACAGTGCATGTGGAAGGCAGAAGACAGTGTGCAATAGTCATCGAGCCTCTCCTTCTACCACATGGATCTAGGCCCCGTACCCAACCTGTGGGTTGTGATCCCCTTGGGGAGTCACGTATCAGATAATTTACATTATGATTCATAACAGTAGCAAAATTACACTTATGAAAAAATTTTATAGCTGGGGGTCACCACAGTAAGGAGGATCTGTATCAGGTGACAACGTTAGGAAGGTCTAGGGGATCATTGGTGGAAGTATCTCTACCCACTGAGCCATCCGTCCAGTCTCCAAGTCAGATGTTATCTAACCTAAGATGAGACTGCTGCACCCTGCCGAGTACTGTCTTTCTATCAGTAATGACTATGGTTCCCTGAATGCAGAGCACTTACTTATGGTAAAACATCCGTGCCATCCCCATTCTCTGCTTCTCTCCTCCTGAAAGGACATCTTTCCAGTCCATGACTGCGTCCCATCCTAGAAAATAAAAGCACACAAACAAACAAATAAACATACAGGTTGCAGACACTTGTTGACTTGTTACCACACCTATTCTGGACAAGTGAGTCCTGGCCTGTTTTGATTGAAAATAAGGGAAGCCTTGTATTTTGTAGAGCAGATGGACAGTCTTGACGGCCATGTGTATGAGGATTTTATTTTTAATACGATATTCTTTTAAGAGTAGTCATTCCTTACACTGATAGACATCTTGAAAGAGTTGTAAATGCTGCCACCAATAAAGTATGTTTGTTACTAAGTCTGTTCAAAGGATTGATGCACACATGCTGATTTTTGAGGGCAGGGGGAGAAAAGATCTCATAATTTGCATAGAACAATTGCCAAGCCCCCAAACAGAACTAAATTAAGCAGTTCCCACAAGCCTGGTACTTTATGCAAGTCTCTTCAGTATTCTACAGCTTATAAGACAGTTGCCTTTATTTGCATTTTACAAATGGGTAATCCAAAACTCACGGAGAAATAGAAACATCTGAGTTATAGTCATCTCTCAGAGCTAGGGTCTATATTTAGGTTTATGTAATGTTTTCACAGTTTGTGCAGCCTATCTCTTAAAACATTTTATCTACTGATTGCTTAATATCAATTTGCAAAGCAAGCATATATATCTGTATTTCTATCTGTCCATCCTCATATGGAAATAATATCAGAAAACTTTAAATGAGAATCCAAGTTTCAGAATGGCACATATTATGGTCGCACTTCTGAAAATGTGCATGCATACCAGGCACACATCTGGGAGTAGAATTTTGAGAGTTTTATTTTTCAAGTTAACACTTCATAATATTTGAAAAATTTTAAATGAGTATCTTACATAATTATCTAGAAAAGATTACTTAAGATCAAAACCACAGTTCTATTTTTGCAGACTCCAATTTTTGGAGGAGAAAATGACTGCCCACATTTGGCAAACACTAAAGTCAACATTTCCACATCTTCATTGTTCTGAATTTAATTTTCCCGTTGAAGGGACATGCTCCACACACCCATCGTTCTCCCTTAGCAACCTGTCCTCATTAGTAATGTATCTAAGTAATAACCTGGCTTTAGGTATGAGAAGACTTAGAATCTTTATTGTTTGATTACCATGGGTACCTGAAAAAAATTGATCAGATCAATTACTTAATTCTTTTGCAAATTTAAAAGGGAGAATATGGGTTTATCTTTTAGAATGCAGAAGGTCAGAATCTTCGACAGAATAACGTATGTTGTTAAATCAGGATTCATCTTGATGTTTTCAATGTTTTCTTCCTTTAGGAATTGTTATAAAATTTACTGCATGTTTTAGAAAGTGTAACAGTAAACGAGGCTCAGTGTAACATGTCTGTAATCTCTGGACAGAGGCAAGGGCAGGAGGATCATGGGTTGGGGGAAGCCTGGACTATGCCATGATACTCTGTCTCAAAAAAAAAAAAAAAAAGATCCTGAATTTATGAGTAAGAAACTAAACAAAGTAGGAAGATGAAAATTAGAGAGAACAAGGAAGGGAAGGCTATTTTTAAGAATACATCTTATGTTATATTTAAAATTTGAAAAAGTCTTGAAGTATTCTCTGTTCCAAACATTAAAAAGGAGACACAATAAAAGTTAACATATTTAAAGTAATGCAGAGTGAAAGGATCTCTGAGGAGTTAGGGGAGGTGAGAGAAGTGAGAGGCAAGAAAAGTAACACCAGGAACGGAGAGGTGATCCTGTGGCTTAAGAGCACACACTGCTCATGAGTGGGACCTCAGTTTGGTCCCTAGCACCCATGATAAGTGGCTCGCAGCCACCTGTACCGTCAGTTCCAAGTGACACAATGCCTGGCACCTGTACTCATGTGTCCTTACCTCCCAGCATACATCTGCAAAATTTGAAGTAAATTAAAAAAACTATCAATACAATAGTATCTAGAGTGAAAGACTTTAACATCATTTACCCCTGACAACATCAGGTTGATCTCTTCAGAGAGCCCACTGTTCGAAGTTATTTAAAAATAGATCTTTATAAGACTATTTTGAAACCTAAAAATACTGGCTTGCTTCTGAGAAAAAGAAATGTTGAAATAATACTTTTCTGTGGCCAATATAGTAATTATGAAATGCAACTGATGACTTGAGGGACGGATTTGGATCGCCCGGTAGGAAGGATGGCGCTGGTGAGGATGGCCGGTGAGGATGGCCGGCGCTGGTGAGGATGGCCGGCGCTGGTGAGGATGGCCGGCGCTGGTGAGGATGGCCGGCGCTGGTGAGAACGGTTTGTTCCCTGCTCCAGGAGCAGAGCACGAGAGAAAAGTTTTTTTAAGTCAAAGGAAAGTTAATTTTTCCATATTTTAATTAACTGTACCCTTTGTTCTACAAAACCCCGAGGGTTCCATCGGCATCCCTGGAAACAGCCATCATGCCGGATGCTCACTGACTGAGACCAAGACAGCTAACCGGGAAAAGCCTTTCCCTGCTTCCTGAAGATGCAGACATTTCCCAGTGTCTCTTTATACCCATTCTACTCCTTCCTACTTTGGAACCCGTTTATGGAAATGAAAGGTGGTTCCCCACCCCCACCCTTTGCTAAAGCAAAGAATCAGCTAATCCAAATAATTCCAATAGGCTTCTTCCAGAGGACACTATACACTAGTAACTGAAAGTATTTTTCGGCACTGCTTAGATGCTTCATTTTTTTTAGAGATTAAGTAAAACTAGCTTCTAAGGAAAGATGTGCCTGTATGAAATTAAGTAATAGTTCTTATGTCTGAAAAGCTGGGAGACATAAAGCACGTCAGAACACAGGCTGTGCCTAGTGGTAAGTCTTTCAGACTTAAATCTGTTTTCAGTTCTGTTCTACCTGCTGTATGGGAACAGGTGTGCAGGAAGCACTCAGGTTTAATCTGTAGAATGGAGGGAGAAAAGCATCATCAATGGGCTTCCACGAACATTGAACAAAATGAGATATAATTGTTTGAACATGGTGTATTCTGTGCAGTAAAACTCAACAAACCATAACTGATCCCATTATATTACTAAGGTCCAGAGACTCTTTTATTTATGGGGAAAAAAAAAAGGGACAAAATTTGTTATGTGTCTAAGGCAAGAAGGTATAAAACTCTAGGCTTGGCACATCTTAAGAATAGTTACAGAATGTCATGACTTCTAAAAAACAGAATATTTCATCTTTATTTTAAATTTCTATTTGGATTACTAGATTCCAAACTGATTTAATCCTCCCATAATATATGGAATTTATACTGTCAAAATATTTTGAAATAGAGAAGGGATTGGCCACATGACACTAAAGGAAAATCTGCTTCCCCCCAAGAGCAGACATCATAAAGAGAAACTTAGTGATGTCTTTCTTGTTGGCTTCATTTGCTTACTGCAGGGATCAGGTCACGATTTATGAGTACTTGCTATGTATCACGGTAAATGCTACACATATAGTTTCAATTTAATATTCACAGAAATGTTGAAAAAGTGTAGCCCCATTTTACCACTGAGGGCACCGAAAGCAATGCTAATTAGGATTTGACTGTTTAACTCTTGAGTTCAAAGCCCATATTCTCAAGCATCTACTGAACTTTTTTTTTTTCTAAAATAATGTAATTAGGTTGGGAAGCAGAACATGAGATCCATGCATGCACAAAGCAACCTAGAATTCCGGCTTGCTCTCTAGGTAGTCTTCTGTGCTGTACAATCACGTCTTACCGGAACATTTGAGAGCTCAGCTATTAGGAGACACTTGGACTGAAAGCGCCTATTTATACATACATATCCTCACTCTTCCATGTATGTCTTCTTCTAAAGGCACTTACAACGAAGGTTCTGTAATCTCTTATCTGTTGTCTAAATGTGTGTGTGTGTGTGTGTGTGTGTGCGCGCACGCGTGCGTGTGTTAGAAAGATTGTGGGATTAAAAATAAGCAAGTTGTGTGAGATTCACTTCAGACGTTACATTTAATGTAATCTGAGAGAGCTTGACAAGCCAACAGTTCATCATCGACTCTGCATACATCTAGAATGACAGTGAACTATGGATACCTGTACATTTAAATATCAAGGTCATCAGAGGCTAGATGTGGCATTACGGTTACCCGGTAAAGGTACTGTAGTGTGCTGTATTAAACACAACACAAGCAAAACAAGACATCAGTCACGGAAAAATCATAAGCCTCTACTCACATGCTTATGGTCCAAAAATCTCATATATTCAAATGAGATCCCAGACTTCATAGACACCTGGGACAGTCATCACGGTTGTCAGCTTGAATAGAGTTAGAGTCACCCACTGTGGAGGATGCCTGTGTGTCTCAGTGAGGGTGCTTTCAGGGAGGACTGACTGACAGAACAGATCTGGCATGAAGCCCAAGAAGGACAAAGAGAGAGAAGGAGAGAGGCAGCAGCCGTCTACACCATTGCATCCTCGACACCATGACAATCTGGCACCTACGAACCATCAGTAAGAGGGGAAGCCAATCTGTAGGCTGTCCCTGTTGGGTATCTGGGTATCTGGTAACTAACACCAAACCTAAGTTTATTCAATTCATTATTTTTGAGACAAAGGTTTGATGTAACCCAGGCTATTCTCAAACTTGCTACATAGGGGACCGTGGCTTTAAGTTCCTGCTCCTCTTGCCCCGGTGTCCCAAGTGCTAAGATGACTGGTACATACCATCACACACAACCCAAACTTGCTTTGTATATGAAGTTAAACCACACTTAAGAAAATAATGACATAATCTACCTCCTTCTCTTTGAACTATGTGGTAGAGATGCACGCTGTGCAGAATACGTTCTAAGTCTTGGTCTGTGTAACCTTTCTCATGCATGTCATCCACGGAGTCAGGGTAAATGACTTGATCCCGGAGACTTCCAAGTGACATGTATGGCCTAGAAAACATGAAGCACATGTGTAAAGGTTATGTTAACTCACTCAGGGTGACATTCTCATGTCTGAAACACAATAGACTTTAAACACTCAATTTACAGGATTATATTATATTTTTTGGACAGACTTAAAAATAATACCTGGTTTATGAAAAAATACTGAGATATACATGCAGGAAAGGTTTTTTTTTTGTAAGAAATGATTTGATATTTTCTATAGAAAAAATATTTTGCTTTACCGTTGTGATGCTATAATTGGTTGTCGAGGTAACTAAATCCAGAACTAACTAAAACCCAAGTGTCTGGGCACAGCAGTGAGAAACTTCCTTTTGTGATTAAATCACTCGAGGTGAGAAGACACATAGTCAATCTTGATCTTTTGAGGTGGGAATATTCATCTTTAGTCTGGGTTAAATCTTCTGGTGTCAGCCTATATAAAGACAGGGAAGGAGGGAGAGTGCTGTCTTTGCCTGCTTGCTCTTTCCTCACTAGCAAGCTCATTCCTTCACTGGCATTAGAGCCTGCTTCTTCAGGATTCCAGTGTACACTGAAGATTAGCTGAGACATCCAGTCTTATAGCTTGAACAACAACTGGGTTATTGGACTTTCTGTTGGTAGACAGCCATTGTTGGACTAGCTGGACCACAGCCTGTATACCATTCTAATAAATCCCCTTTATATTTATTTTTTCTAAATTTAATCATTTTCTTAATTAAATCAATCAATCAATCTATCTCTTATCTATCATCAGCCTATCATCTCTTTATCTCTTATCTATATCTCTTATCTATTCATCTACCATCTATCCATCTACCATCTGCCTATCTATGATTTATCTATCTCTTACCTATTATTAATAACCTATCCATCTATCATCTACCTATCTCTTATATATCCATCTATCATCTATCTCTTATCTATTTATCTCTTATCTATCATCTACCTATCTCCTATCTATCTATCTATCTATCTATCTATCTACCTACCTACCTACCTACCTATCATCTATCTGTCATCTATCTTTGTTCCATCAGTTTTGTTCATCTAGAAAACCCTGATTAATACAAGCATATTTGATAATGACTATTTCTGATTATCTACAATTATTTGCTTTAAACATAAAACTTGGAGTTTTGACAGTCATGTAAACAAATAAACTGAAAGGCAAGGTATTAATTAGAAAACATAAATTAAAATGGCATCAGTTTTCTTGTGTATCAGAGAGGCAAAAATTCAACAGCTTGATAATTCTATCAGCTGACAGGCCCATGAGGCAAAACAGATGGCCCCATACAATGCTGAAAATCCAGCCTCCTTGGTGGAAATGTAGCAAACTGGCATGCCATTTGCTTTTTGACTCACTTCTGGGAATTTTCTCGGAGGATATGCTCCTAAAAATGCCCCAAAGGAAAACGTGCCTAAGCTTATCCATTACAGTGCAAACTGCAGTATCAACATGCTCAAAACCAAGTAAAAGGACTGGGCAGAGAGAATCCTTGAGTCTAATGTCTGTGCTACTATGATGTGCTACAGCAGTCAGGCAGGCACACAAAGTAATACAGAGTGAGTTCTGTGACCATCATTCAGCTCAAAAGGAAAATGCGAGGGCAGATTGTGATCAGTATGTCTCCAAGGCAGCCTGACAGGCTGGCCTGGATGATCTATCCTTGCTTAGGGTGTCCTGCTGTGGGAAGGTTAGTGGTATACCCTGGCCTCTATCCACTAGATGTCAGTAGCATCTCCTCAAACATGATCAAACATTGTCTACAAGTCTCCCCAAGGGGGACAACTATCCCTAGGTAACGAAGCTGTCCCCAGCTGAGATCCACAGGTAGACAGTTGTTACCTTCTATGAAAAGAAAATGAAGGATAATAAAAATACATCCATTTGGTCACACCTATGGAAAGAGACAGGGAAAGTGAGAAACTAGTGAAAAGGTCACCTAAGGAGGTGAAATGGCTTGAATAGAACAGAGAGAAAATATCCTTTCTAAACCTACCTACCCTTCTCTCTCTCTCTCTCTCTCTCTCTTTCTTTCCTTTCTTCCCCCTCTTTCTTTCTCTCTTTTCTCCCTCCCTCTTTTTCTTTCTTTTTGTTTTCTTTATTTTTGGAGACAGGGTATTTTATGTAGACCAGGCTAGCCTCAAAATCATAGAGATCCACCTACTGCTGTCTCTGAAGTGCTGGGGTTCAAGGTGTGTGTGTGTGTATGTGTGTATGTGTGTGTGTGTGTGTGTGTGTGTGTGCCACATCTTTTCATTACAAGTTTTGATTTTATAGTCACATTAAAATGTTACGATTTGAAAAATAAAATTAAACGATTAGCTAAAAAGCAAAAAGCTGGATTTTGTTTATACGTATCAGCTAGATAAGGTGACCCCAGAAGAGAGGAGGAGAAGGGTAGGAATGGAATAAATGAACTTAAGTAACTTTGGCTACATAGCCTCAATTAATTAAAAAATGATTAAACACCGTTTCCTAACTCCACTCCCATCAGGGACATCTGAAAGCCACCCTTTCAGAGGGTCAGATCCTGTAGACAATATGGTGGATTTATTTTTGCTTACATAGCAAGTGCACATATCCACTGCAATACATTCCTGCCTTACCTCTGACCCTTCCCACAAAGTTAAACTGACAATAGGTTGGCCTGTAAGTCCCAAACTACGGGAGGATGCCTCTCCACCGCCTCAAACCTCCTGTCTTCTGGTGACTTGTGGTAGTAGCAATGGAAACTAACACAGGCAGGGACTCCAAAAACCTTGTACAACCCGCGTGGCTCTGTGAGAAACATCAGGCCATCCTAGCTTAGGGTGGTTGTCTTACACAGACAGCAAGGGCCAGCCTCTGCAGCCTGGCAGCTAAGAGCACTGGCTACTCTTGCAGAGGAGTCACATTTGGTTCCCAGAACCCACACAGCAGTTCACAACTGTCTGTAAGTTCCACTGGATTTAATACTCTGTTCTGATTTCCGTGGGCACCAGGTCCTCATGTGACACATGGAAATGCATGCAGGCAAAGCACTTATACACATTAGAAAAATTCTTTAAAAAAAATTACAGCAGCTCTGTGTGTTTTTCTGAGGAGAAGGAAGGCTTTAAATACAAATATGTTTTGTCCACCAAATGTCCCTTTACATTTTCACAGTATTTATGAAGTGTTTCTTTGTGGCCTACATAGTGCATAATTACTTCATAATACACTGAATGAATATTTGAAATAAAAGTTTGTGTTTCCACTACACATATACGTAATACAAGGGGCCACTTATGTATCTTTGTTTAACTTGGCAAGGATGCAAATATTATATCAGCCTTTAATATCTATAATCCAGTGTGTTTTTTTCAATACACCCACAAGTTCAGGCGGCCATCACTTCCAACTTGAGAACACTTTTCTTGGCTCCTACGTCCACAACTGGGATCAGCTACTGTCATCTGTCATTGCACTTTGTGAAACTAGTATGCTTTCTGTCTCCACGGATTTGCCTATTCTGGATGTTCCAAATACACAGACTCACACAATATGTGCTCTCTTGTGCTTGATTTCTTCCTAACAACAAGTGTGTTTGAGAATGTGCCATGGTCCTTTCTAGGGCTGAACCATATTATAACACTGTATTGTGAGTGTGTGCCATATTTGCTTCATCCATTCATCTACTGAAGGATATTTCAGTGTTTCCTTCTTTGGGTTATGACGCATACTGGGTATAAACCAGTAAATGGAATTATGGAGGCAAAGAACTGTCTAGGCAACTGTCAGGCTGCTTTCCAAAATGGCTCAACCATTTCCAGTCTCATTTCCCCCATATGTTTAAGGTATCTTCTTCTCTTAAATTTACTTTTCCATTCTAACCACACTTTCTTGCAGCAGAACTACAGCCTATGCTCCATTTCGTTATGTAACCAACTTAAGCAGTTGCATGCAGAAGTATCTTAAATTCACATCTATGAATAACAACAGTAGCATTGGCATAAAGTAGGGCCACTGAGCAGCTGTCGCAGGGTGCTCACCAAGTTCCAGGACCATAGGAAAGGGAACGTTTACTGCCTTTAAATCGATGCTAGCTCTGAGTTAGCACAGATCAGTAGATGCAGACATCCTTCCACCTTAGCCTAAAGCCCAGATGTTAATGCCAAGAGCAGCTCTGTCATGTGGCACAGTCAAGGCTGCGATGCTAAACCACAGCTGTGCACCCAGTCTGTGAGTGCTTCTAAAGGCTCCGCCATACAGCCTCACGAAGGGCTAAGAGTTGATGACATCATCACTTACATCTGTGTTTCGCCATACGTACTCTGCTTTATGCTATACAGTACAGAGAAATGGTTTGGACGGTGAGCTATGGAGAGGAGGTTCTGGGCTATACCCCTAGTCTCACTATTGCAGTACTGTCCCTCCACTCTGAACTTGACCTAATTTGTTTGTAACATCACTAATTTCATTCCATTTATCATGAGTACAAGACGAGGCAGCTGAAGGAAGTAATGTGGCAAGATTGTTTACTATAACACGGGCACAAAGGAAGGAAGGCACTCAATAAGTGATTGTCATTCAATAAAAAGGTTCATTTCTCTTGAGTTCTGCAAGTGAAAGCGAAACTTAAAGAAGCAACAGAGTTGCCACTCGCTGATGGAGTGCTTGCCTTCCGCTCAGTGCTGGTTGATTCCCAGCACTGAAATAAAAACCAAACAAGTGAATGTGAAATAACTGACCTTCACCAGAGAATTGTCTGCTAGTTTTTATCCTATAGTAAATTTTATTAGACATAATGTGGTTAATGGATAAAAGGCAACTGTGTAGACTTTAAAGATAGATCTGGTTGAGTACGCAAGAAAATACTTCAAGTTTATCTAGATCTTTTCCTTTGTTAACATGTAGTTCACTAAGTTTATTGAGACCTCTCCTTTGGTAACATCTAGTTCACTGATGTAGTTTACAGGGCTTCAAAGGACTCAAAGCCCTTAGAGTTGTCAGGTGGGTTCATTGTTATAGAAGCAGGGTAAACCTGCAACTTCACCAAAATACTTAGTACTTATGATTGCTTAATATTTTGGTATTAATTTCTTAATACTGTATTTTTAATATAGCACTCAGATCAAGAATTAACAATTATATTATTAGTTAATATATTTATACACTATTTTATATATTTATAATATATTTCTATATAGCTTTATATAGAAATATGTAAATCACATATTGGAAATAATTTTTTATATATGTGTACAATAAATTTATATATTATGTAATTATGAATGATACTACACTGCAATAATAATTAAATAATTAAATTTGAAAAACAGCTAATTTTGTCTGGTGGACAGATGAAGCAAAGTAACTACAGTATCGTAATGTTTAATTTCCTATACTGTTTTCAAGGCTCTATTAGAAATATCTGAAATACATAACTCCTGAAATAATTTTTGCTCCTCCTGGGAAGGAATTTTAGCAACAAATTATAATTGTTTTTCTGTGAAATCTTATATATACACTTATCTAGAAAACTATTAACTCTCACAGTAAGAGCATTTAAGATGAAATCACCCCAATAACTATATTTTATAGTTATTAGTTATTACAAGCATTTTAGCTACTTTAAACATTTGCATTATGTTCTCATTTTTTCTGTGCTAACATTGAAGTATCTAATATTTCTTTTCTGATATAATTTATTGCTTGTTAGATTTTTCTGGTTTTTTGAGTATTTTATATTTGAAACAAAGGGGAAAAATGGGGAGAACACTGAAAAGAATAATTCCTACCTTTGTGCTCAGAGTCCCTGGGACAAGAACCTAAAATGCTAAATATTTCCCGAGTTGAGCACAAATAGCTCTGAAGAGATTAAAACAACAAGAATGATTTAAATAAACAGATGACAGAAATTTAAAATTATATAGTTTAACTGAAAAATCCTGATAAAAATTCAACAACACTTTTAACTCTAAACTATGGGGAGGGTACAATTGAAGAGTTATGTTCTATTTCTGCGGTTGTTTGGCCAGAAAGAAGGCAGAGCAAATCATGAATACTCACTGTCAATCACAGAAAAACGCACAGGTTGAACCAATCACATTACTGCGCCTTTTCATACACAGCAAGCTCAAGATTTGAGTTTCAGACGCATGATTTCATTCCTAATACTCTTGTGGTTTTTCGTAAACCAAGAACTACTCAACTCAAAAGAGATATTTACTATTACGAAAATAATGTCCTTCAACTTTTTGCATCTAGAACTTTTTATAAAGCAAGAAATCAGCCTCAGTCTACTGAGCCTTCTTCACTGCTTCAGAAATTTCCTTAAAAAAGAAAAAAGCTGTCAACTGACAGTTATTTATCCATCACAAAGGGGATTAGGCAACATACCCAGCACAAGTAACAAAACAGACAGATGGTTCATAGTGTAAGATGCCGGGCAGATTTGCCAGTAGAACGGAAATCTGTCAGTCAGTCATTCAGTTCTTGGATAAAGCTCACTGGGCATGCGTGCTGGGCATGCGTGCTGAGCAAGCCTGAGGCCGTGGATCCAGGCCGGCACTACCCACCCCTGGAAGTTTATGTTGATTAACACAGTCCTTATGAGTGCACTCCTTCTCTCTTTGCTAAAGTTTTACTTCCCAAGACTCAGAGTTATAGATGGGTAGAGGGGACTAAATGTCTCTCAGACTGTTTGATGTGGTATATGGACATGTGGTTGTGAGTAGTAGGAAGATCTGTTAACACTTCTCTCCTGAGAGGTTTCTTCCAAGTAAGAGTACAGAGAGCAGGGACATTACAATTGCATGGTAGGCTGCTGAGCGTGAAGCACACAGACGATCCTCTGGGGGGTTGCTTAGATAGAGCAGCATCAAGAAACAAAAGGTTGCCAGTCTGCCATTCTTCCTTCTCTCTACATTTCCTATATGTTCTCCAAAGTCCCATTTCTCAATTTCCCACTTTGAGGACTGCTTGTGGATTGATAGAGTTGACTAGAAAGGAAACTAAACCAACACATGTTAAGTCTGGCTGTTACAGCCGCAGGCAGAAACTCAACAAGGCATAAGTGAGTAATGGGCCATAGATTAGTAGAGAAATGAAAGCAAGAACAGAGGGTCATAGCTTATCCTCAGAGGCCTGGAAAGAAAAGAAAAGACACCAAGAATTGACAAAGTGATTCAGGAGATACCCAAGTGGGAGATGCTTTCTGTGAGTCAGAAGTGCTGATCCAGCGGGGAGGGGTGGGGTGGGGGGGTTTGGGGGGGGTGATGGGCATCAGCAGCCTGATTAAGGAGTGCAGTGATATTGCTCAGGACAGTCAGTCTCAGTTGGAAATGTCAGAATAGGTTTCCATTTGAGCAAAGCCCCCACATCCTGCCATTCACCATCCTACAGAAGGATACCACCTAATGTGCATTTCAGACAAAATGTTCTGTCTTAAATCCTACAGATGCTCCGGCTTCTCTATTCTGTCCTGGAAGAGATGGGGTGAGGGAAAATGGTTTGAACAAAATTTATACAGAACAACTCTGTATTCTTACACTATGGCTCAGATTTCTAAAGATCTGGTTCTTATTATTAACATTGCTAAAGCATTAGAAGACACCAACTGGGGAAATGCTGGGGAGATTTCACAATTTCTCTGGAATTCGTGTTTCCCAATTTACAACTTGAGCCAGAGGAGCATTTCTGTTTGGGTCTCTGTGTGTGAAAGTTTGGTAGAACCCAAGTGCTGGCTCCTCCCTGGCTAGTGCTTGGCTTACTACACAACATAAGAAACCCACTCTCATGAAACCTACTGCTTTTACCCCAGTGAAAGGAGGATTGTATTTTGCATTTGATCAATGAATAAAGAGATCCAGCCTCTAAGGAGAAATACTTCAATCATAGTGATTAAGTGTAAAGTCTGTTTAATGACTTACAGATTTCATATTTGGACTTCAATTCTATGTTGGTTTTTCTGCCAAACTAGTAGTGATCTTACATTCTCTTGCTAGAGAGTAGTCAAAAGTAGCAAAAAAAAAAATTAATCATAGGAATCATTTATGTGATCATCCAAGATCATTTACTGACATACTTTAAAAGAGGTCCTACTGTTACCTTCTTTTATGTAATAAAATCTTATGTGATCATTTTGGAATTTACTTGGACAAAAACGACTTGCTTTCAGAATACTAGAAATAAATACTACAATTAGCTTTTCTTAATTTACATTTGTGTTTTAAATAAATGTTAAGTAAAAATGGAAGGAATGGGACTCTATAAAATTGTAAGTATAAATATAATTCCCCATGCCTCTAGATGCATATAATTAAGGTGAACTGATTTAAGAGAAAAATCATTTAAAAATTAAAATATAGATGACTCCTGCTTATTTTTTAATTAACTAGGTTGGAGTTGACATTGCTTAGGCAAAACTACATTTCATAAGACAAGATTCCCTAATGATTTCTGTGTATTGTACAATATCATTGTTAGTTCACTCTGAGGGTAAAGGTCACTTTAATAAACTTGCCCATTTCTTGGAAAACTCCTGCCACGACATACGTGTTCAAGAAGTGCCTCATTCATATGATACATGAAATATCTAAAGGGTAAAACGTAAGCTTTTCTAGAAACCTTTATTTTTATCAAGAATACGTTTCTCATAGACCATTTTTCTCATGGTTCTATATGTTATAGCTTAAGTACAAAACTGAAATAATGTAGTAATGCTATGTATGTAATTTGTTTGTAAAAACTTAAAACTGAGGCGATAAAATCAAGGTTTCTGAAAGGACAGAAAAGAAACAGTGTTTCTGTTATCGCATGGCATTCTAGTTGTGTTAAACACAGGTGCCAACAATATTGCTCCTATTTAATATCTCTGGCTAACATGGTTCTGAATCTTCCTGAACACCAGACAGCATTCTGCTGCCTCCACTGTGAGTCTTATTTGAAAGAAAATAAATTCACGGAGCCCAATTGCTGCTTATGGTCTAAAACTCAGGCCAACTGAAGAACAGTAGCACCATGTACCAGCAAAGAGGGGACTAGATGTGTGATGTTGCCTAGCATCAGTGTGACGTGTACTGGTGCTCCAGCCTTACATTCTCATCCTAGATGCTGGGTTACACACCTCAGAGCAGCCCTCTGATCCAGAGGAAACACTGCGACTGTCTGCTTAACCTGGGTGGCACACAGGATGACCCAGAGAGAATACATGTAATGTAGTGCCTATTGACACTTGGAGAAATCTCTGGACCAAAGCAGTCAATTTTTTATTGACAGCTGATTTTCTCTCACCGAAATAAATTCTCCAATTCTCAAGTATGTAAACCTTGTGTTTAGATACTTCTGTGTTGTTATGAGGGAGGATGGTTGAAGATTTGGGGAAAACAATGTGCTTTTCCACGATTACTCTTAATGCAATTTTAGTTAAGGTAGTTTAGATTATTCGTTAGTTAGCATAATCACAATAAAGACCGTAAGAAGGCCCTGAGGCGTGAATGGACAATCTTAGGATGTATAAGTATATGTAGCATAATAGAAAGGCCTGAATAAAACCGGAGTACTATATTTTTATCTGTAAGAAAACAATATGACTTCTAATTATTCTTTGTAACCATTTATTCCTTCCTAAAACATCTGAAGTCTTTGAATATTCTCAACACGCTGTCAGATCTGAAAACACCAAGAAGTGGCATTGACCCAGAATCTATTACAGTCAAAGCCATAAGACAGAACTCAAGGAATAACTGAACACGTCCTTATTTCCTTAATAGTTTCTCTAAATAAAACTACCCTTAAGTGTGCATAACCTGAAGAGCCTGAGAAAGGAACACAACTTAACAACAGAAACAGCTGTTCTTATTTGATATAAAAAGTTTCTTACCTCTGAGGAATATAGAACATATGTTGGGGAGGCGGTTTATAAAGGACTCCTTCATACACAGGCCATAGCCCACTTAAGATTCTGAAGAGAGAGCTTTTCCCACAACCATTGGGACCAGTTATCAAAAGATGCATCCCTTCTTCTACCTAAAGTCAGAAATAAAATTATAAGCTGCAATATTTAATAATTATTTCATCTAGTAGCATTCAAAATGATTTTTTAAAAAAGTATTTAATCATATGACAATCTTGGATAGTAAAGAAGACAAATAAAATGTATCAAGAATGGAACTTAAAGTTTAACTTTGGCTATTCTTCAAAGCTAAAAGTATCATAAAATAATTAATTGCAAAAAAATGAATCTTTTTAGAAAAGATACTGGCTCTCCAACACTTCAACTGAGATCTTTTAAATCTGCACACATACAGAGAAACTAACTACACATGAAAGAAAAACTAATCATAAGGTTTAAATTAAAATTATATTTTATTGATATTACTGTCTAATTAAAGTTATATAAAATCCAGTGCAACTGAAAGTTGAATATACTAAAAAGCACATTTATCTAAGGAGCCAGCTGGGTTCTTAATTTTTTATACTAGTGTCTGAAATGCTGCAAAATCACAGAAACACACAATAAGAGATAAAATATTATTCTGAGTTTGGTTCATTCACAGATGTAAAAAAAATATATGCTTAGGAAACCAAGACAGAGGAAAGCAAGGGAACTGTAGTGTCACATATGCCTAGGGTTGAATTTAAACACATATAATCAAGTCTCCATATTCAGGACTTCACTTCTGAGGAGTCAGTCAACTGAAGATTGAAAATATGTGAAGAAAGGAAAGGTTGCATCTGCATCAAATATGTACAGAATCTTTTTCTATATAAAATTGCCCAATTGAAAGTTATCAGATTTGGGTGTTGGGGAACCCATCCCTGAAGGATATTTAGAAAGAATGTATACACATAAGATTGTCACCCTCTCCATATAAGTGGAGATCATATCCATATATTATTCATTCATAATTCAAGTTTACTTATTACTCACTAACCAGAAGCTCCCCTTTATCATTTGTCTTCGCTATCTATTAAATTTAAACAGTTAGACTTTATGACATTGCATTCTGTTTCGTAGGGCATAGAGACTGCCTTCCTATCAGACTTGTAGGGCACAATATGAGCATGAAGCAGGAACATGGCTTGAAAATTTGATTTGTTTTATAATCAGTTATCTAAAACTCAAGATGAGAGGACGAGAGATAGAAATCTACAGGACGTCTGTCTATGCATATGACTTTTCATTGAATGGATATAAACATCCACGCTTATAAAACATAATGCTAAAAGTCAAAGACAAAGGTGAATTGCTAGTCTTCCAGAACATCCTGGGAGAAGCTACAAAGAATGAGCTATGCCTTGCTTCTTCCCTTCCACTAGACGTCTTGATGATGGGTGGTTAATCTGATAGATGCCTGAGTACTATCCAAAGGAGTTTTGTAAGGTACATGCCCCAGTGAGCAGTACATTCATAAAATGTTTTTGAAGTATCATTTCCCATTAGGCATTCTTAGAAATTTAACACTTTTTAAATTGATAACTGAAGACTTTTTCATATTAGTATTTTCCCAACATAACATCTTAGTAAATTCTGATATTTTTCTTAACATAATTCTCAGTAAAGACTGAGTATGAGGAAAAGAAAACTCACATGTTGTACTTTTCCCCCCATATGTCATAATTTTAATTTTGAAGACCAGCAAAAGGATGAATATAATTTTCCTTAAAAAGTGTGTATTTCCCAATAAATATTGAAGAGACACAACCTTTTTTATCCTATTCCAGGGAGATTAGAACTAAAATACACATTTTGAAGACAAAAGCAACAGCAAATAGTTTGTTAAAACAATGTACATCTTCATAGTATGTTAAAAATCTGTAAGAGTCTCCCACTGGATTAGTGCTTATTTATTTATTTTTTCTATTCAAGAGACTTAGTTCTGAGTTTTTCTTCAGTTCATGATGATTCTACAGGGTCATGGTTAGCAGAAGGCAACATTGAAGCTTTGTCATCTATTTATTTAAAAATTAAATCAACTGAGAACCAGCATTATGTTACCTAAACTGGCCAAGACAACAACAAAACCAGAGTTTTGTTACTTTGCTTTTCAAGGTGAGGACTGAACTCAAGCTTGGCAGCCAGGCAGGCACTTTATCCACTTAGCTGCACCCCCAGCTAAATTGCTGAACTATTAATAGAAAATAAAATGTTACATTCTTGCAACAAGTAGCTAATTGGTACTCCTGTCATATCCTAATAATAAAACCACTTTACAGGTTTACAATTGAATAATAAATCTCGACCAAACAATTCCCCTTCAGTTCATTAACAGGATTTCCCTGTGTTCAACACATCTCAACCTCTCTTTTCAACTTCCAGTAAGCCTGTTTGACTGCAAATACATCTCAAATAATTGAGCCTAGGTTAAGGTCCACTCCAAAAATCATTAGTATTATGATGCTCATAGTTTGAGTGGGACCTGATCACGCCTTTGATTACGCACAGCTCAACTGTCTTCATTATAGCTTCATTTAAATATGAAATGTCTTCCCTGGATCACGCGTGTTAGTCACTAAGTCTCCAATTTCTGGTACATTTTGGAAGATGGTGGAAAGCCTTGGCCATGAGTCCTACTTGGAGGAAGGAGGTCAGTAGGAACGTGTCCTTGGGCCGTATCTTGGCCTGACACAAATTCTCTTTCTCTATTTGCTGCCCAGCTTGCAGTAAGGAGCCTCTTTTCTACATGTTCCTGGCAGATGTTCAGCTATTCCTCACTCCTAAAGCCTCGAGATAGCTCAATCGCAAATAAATCCCCTGGAAGCAGGAGCCAACTAAATACTTCCTTCTAATTGTCAGTGTACTGGCACAATGACATGACTAGTACTAAGTTACTTACGTCATTACTACTGCTGCTACTGCTACTACGTAACTAACAGCATGTTAGCCATTTGATACTCAGTATAACATGTATGTTTACATCTCACAGAGCTTTAAAACCAGAGTCTTGGGTTCACAGGTGTTTTTTGCACTCTGTTTTGTAATTAAGATATGAGATATTAAATAAATTAATTTCAACAGAATCAAAAACTTAAGTTGAATCCATGACTCTTCCAATCATTTAAAGTCAAAATTAAAGTTAGAAAACACATGTTAGTAAAACTAAATTTGATACTGACCGCTGGGGAAAGATAATATTTCAGAAAGCATGTAAAAGTTAGTCTTACGCATGTCTTAACAACCTGTATAAAAAGTTAAAATTCATTCTCCGATACTGATTTCTAAGATTTCCTTTTGCTCCCCAGAGCTATGTCGCATGTCTCTCAGTGTTCTGTCATGTGATTTCTAATCTGGCACCAAAGCAGCAGAGATCACGGTTTTCTTTTCACTCTGTGTTCTGAGGGAGTTACTGCTTCTGCAATTGAGCCACTGTGCATACCTTTTGGATTTCCCCTTTCCACACGCTCCTCTCCAAGTATTTAACATAAGGTACATGAATTCTGAGGTGTTTTCTATTAGTGTGAGGCCAACAATCAGAAGATTCTTGACTATCATCTTACTTTGAAGTTTAGCCTGGAAGCCACCACTTCGCCCGCTGGGGTAATTATGGGAACATTTTCACAAATGATTCCATGATCCACATCAATAACTGTTCCTATAATCAAAGAACAGTGTAAGTGACAAAGGCTACCCCATTACTTCTACTTAACTGGAAGATAATATGACAGACTGGGCAAACTCAGTTATAAAGATAATTCACACCAGTAAGTCATAGAAAAAAATAAATATGCTTTATGTCAATTTAATATCTATCTATCTATCTATCTATCTATCTATCTATGTATATTTAATCTATGTAGAAAATCTTTTGAATTAAAAATAATTTCATAATCAAATATCAATATCTTTATCCTAGTAGACATGAACTATGTCTGATATAACTTAGACACACTGTTTAGGGTTATTCTGTTTTCCTATTTCCTGCAAGAAAAAAGTACACTGTTCTAAGAAAGGAATCAAGAAGTGCTATATTTCAACACATAGTAAACATCTAGAAACACTGAATAATGAGGAATAATAATAATAATTAATATTAATAATAGTGTTAATATTAATAATTAATAATAATATGGCACTAGCACTAATTCTATTTACTAGTTCAAAATTTAAAAGCAGACAGTTTACTTGGCCCTGTGGGCTGCCTGCAAATCCGAAGCAAACATAGTTTCCTGAGGATAAGTTTTGGATTTCCTCAGTGCTCCACTATTCATCATGCCACTCCAACTGTAACATGAACATGGGAACTGCTACCTAAATAACATTCGTATTTAAATACTAGTTTCTTGTAATTACTAAAAGGTGTTTCCTAAAGAAGAAACCTTTAGTTCTTTTCATAAAATGACAATAACCTGTAACGAAAATGTAAAAAACAACAAACAAAACAAACAAAAAACAAAACAAGCCCAAACCCTGAAATTAATTACCTTTGATGGCCAGGGTGTCGCTGAGGGGTAGCTCTGTGGTACCTCCACTCTTGCTATGGTCTTCAGGCTCCTGAGTGACACTTCTCTTATAAATGCCTCTCTTCACTTCATCGAAGACCCAGAACATATTGTACACTCTAGCAGTATAGCCTGCTAGTTCAGTGATCTAAAAGCAACATATATAGAATGAGTGAATAGAGCCATGATAGAAGATTTTAAGAAATTGTGCACTGTGTAAATGTCTTGATTTGTTGCTAAAGATTCCACTTTATTGTGTGTGACAAAAAAATCCCCAATATATTAGATGACTGAAGGGAACAGTAGCAAGAGCCTTACTGGGGACAATAAAGGAAGACATCGGTACAGATGTCATTGGCGTTGTAAGACAACAATATTGATTTACTTCAGTGTTCAAAGTGAAATGAGAAGCTTTCACAAGATTAATGAGTCGCAAGGGTCTTTTAGTCTCATTTTCGATTTGGTTCCCATTGTGTTTGTTTTGTTGGTTAGTTTCTTTGTTTTTGAGTCAGAGTCTCACCATGTAGTCCAGACTGGCCTCAGACTTACAGAGATCTGCCTGCCCTGCCTCCCAGTACTAGGACTAAAAGCATGTGTTGTCATTACCACCTCATCTCCTCTTTCTATTTAAGAAAGATTATCAGGCTGAGGATCTGTGTTAGAAGTGGAACATTTGTCTAGCATACATGAAGCCCTGGGTTCATGCCTCCATGGATATGCATATATATCCAAAAACTTGAAACAGAACAACGACATTACCTCTGATTCTATTTACTAGTAACATTTTCAAAAGCAAACAATTAATTCAGCTGTCTGTGTTGTTTCCAAATATAATCTGAAACATTTGTTTTTCCTAAGCGAAAGCAGCATCAATGAGACTGTGTGTTTAGGTACATGTGGATATGAATATCTTAAGTAGCAGAAAAATACTTCCTTTTTCTTATTTATAAATGAATGTCTCTAGGCCAAATGCTGCCAAAGTTCCTGTTTGGGTAGAAGAGTATATGTGCTAAAGGGCACAGGTTGCGAAAGAGAGCCTGGTCAAAGGCTAGAACCTTCTCCGTATTAGTCCCACATTGTAGCTTCTTTTCAAGCTAGATGCTATTTAAATGCTCAAGTTAAACTATAAATACATGATTTTTTTATTTTTCAAGCTAAGATTATGAGACGCTTTAGTTCTCAAAGCTCCACAGAAAGATGCTTGGCTCTGGTTCTGCCAGCTGTCCGTCTGGGTCGAGCTCCTGCTGGTTTTCAATCATGCCAGAACAGCTGGCTTTCAGGGGGGCTGTGAAAGGTGACTCGCCTTATCCATGTCATTTGCCTCAGCAAAAGAACTGGGAACCTGACACCAATAAGTATGCATGTCACAAAAGATGTCTCCTCCCAACGGTCATAGTAGATTAACCCACCGATGCTGGCAGATGGCTGCTGAGATCTTTGTGCATAAAGCTGAAACTATAATGAGTAGGTGTTAGTGTCACAGGCCTTTGAGGGAAGGGAAAGCTGTAATTTGACCATTTATGGTTGTATTTTGATGTTATAGCTATCTAAAGGACAACTTCTGAGATTTTACCTGAAATAAAGTCTTGAGCTCTTAAGTAGAAGCAAAGAGAGGAATGGTTTAACAAAAGAAACCTGGGTGTCTTAGGATTTCTACTGATGTGGTAAGACACCATAACCAAAGGCAACCTGAGGAGGAGAGGGTTTATTTCATCTTACAACTCACAGTCACACTCTGTCACTGAGGGAGGTCAGGGCAGAAAGTCAAGGCAGGAAGTGAAGCCGAGGCCATGAAGGAAGGATGCTCCCAGGCTTTCTCCCATGGCTTGCTCAGTGTACATTCTTATTCAGCTCAGGACTACCTGCTCAGGAGTAGCAGGTGACACTACCCACCCACAGTGACAACTCAGGACTACCTGCTCAGGAGTAGCGGGTGATACTACCCACCCACAGTGACAACTCAGGACTACCTGCTGAGAAGTAGCAGGTGACACTACCCACCCACAGTGGCCTAGGCCCTTAACATCAAGTATTAACCAATATGATACTCCACACAGACTTGCCTACAGGCCAGTCTTACTGCAGGCATTGTTTAAATTATGTTTCCCTCTTTCCAGTTATGGCCAGCTTTGTGTCAGGTTGACATAAACCCAAGTAGCACATTGGGCAAACATAAATATTTGCATAGAAAAAAAACCAAAGATTACTGCGAGATTCAAAAAGAGCAGGAAGCCAAGGGTAAGTAGACGAGAGTGGAGACAGGAATGTCTATAAAAGCTAAAAGGGAAAAGCTAAAAGCTATAAGGCAGAACGCTTCGGGACACCAGGGGCTTGCGGTAGAATGTTGAATCCTGAAGGAAAAGGAAGCTTTGCTCCTCTGGAGCTAGTAGAGAAGACACAATGATTTCTTTTCCTATCTTAGAAGCACAGGGCTTCTAAGAGTGAACATTCTTAGATTCAAAGAATACAAAGTCTGAATAAATAAGGTCATTTTTATCATTGGAGATAACCTAGGATGGTTAAGTGCAGTTCTTCTGTGACATAGCATGTTTTGATGTGAGATGGATAATGGTTTTGACCTTTAATAATAATTAAAATAACTGCAATAATAATTTCAATATAAAGATGAAATACATGGAAAAAGTTGTCCCCAAAACTAAGTCCCCAGATGATTAAAATTGTTTGAATTTTTAAAATATGAGTACTTTTAGTAAGTAGTACTGAACCATTGGCCTTATGGTGAAAAATAAAATCCAATTCAATAGATCAGTTCTGTAAGAAACTCAGAAACTCTGAAGTTGTATCATACTCTGTACTTTAGGTAGTAAGAGATAAATTCACAATGATACTCTAGCAATTCATTGGCTTTATTATCTACCAAATTGATTAATAGAATTTTAGAAATATCTGAATTGCCCAGTCATTTTGATTTTAACCTAGAGGTAGCTACAGGTCTTTTTTTTTTCCATCATTCTTTTAAAAAACTACTTATTAGCCGTATACCTATGTATTAGAATGGATGGTAGAAATAGAAAGATGTGTATGATGGCCCCTGCTCTCAGAGAGCTCAGGGTTAGGTGCAGGGGAGAGAACCATATCGTAGTAAGGTGAGAGAGACAGAGAAGCCCATCCAGATGCTTCAAAGATGGTGAGAAGAAGCAGAATCATCTTACTGGAAAGACTTCGTCAATGGAAGATGAACTAAGTTTGGAAGATATAAAGCTGGTATTACTAGCTAACAGCCAGTGAGTGTTGACATGCATTGACTTAAGTATCTCACATTATGAAATTTCAACACCCTACAAAATCATTGCTGTCGTGACTCCAATTTACAAGTACGGAAACAGGGATACAGACAGACAGGAAGTCTGAGGCGATCATGTGAGTGACTTGTAAAGGAAGAAGTCTGAATATAAATGAAGCGGAAGCATGGGTTCTTGAGGCCACACAGGAGCAATTCCTTTTTGTTCTCTTCATTTAAAAGCAAGCAAAATCATGCTTGTAAACAGGAATAACAGAACACCTCATTTTAGAGTTGCTTCCTTTGACATCAATTATACTCTTGGCAGTTTTGAAGAGTGGGGGGGGGGATAGAGAGGTAGGGAGGGAGGGAGACACTTTACACCGCTTTATTTTCAGATGCATTCATATTTTAAGCAAATCTGCAAGAAATTACATTACCTCTTTGTATGAAGACATAATCCTTTCAATTGCATCAGCTCCAGAGGCCAATAAATTCCGGGCAGTAGTAAAGGCCTCTGTCCGGTCGCTAACCATAGCCTGCTTTGGACCATCTTCCAGATCTATGAGAAAATCACAGAACTATTGAGTTTTCCTCCCAAGTCGTTGTCTTATTTTATACCAATCAAGTGATGGCCAAAATAACAATACTTCATAACTATCAGCAGTTTCCTAGAATAATACCGTATGTGTATTAGCTTTTATTAGAAGTTTCTCTTTCAGGAGAAGAGTTAGCACAAATAAATCTATTAGTTTGTTTCCATTTACCTTCCTTTCCACTTTTCCTGTATCCACTCTCCTGCTAACTGTGAAACACTCTCCTGACAGTCTCAGTAAAAGTGCTCACTTGAGGGGGCTGCGACAGTGGCTCAGTAAAGTGCCCTCTGTGTGGGTGTGAGGACCCAAGTGTGGATTTCCTGTACTCCTCCTGTTTGAAAAATCTGGGCATGATGCTCGCTTTATCACTGGAGAGATAGAAGAATCTCTGGAGCTCACTGGCCAGTCAGCAAAGAACCAATGAGCCTCAGGGTTAAAAGAGGAAAGGTGGGGAGAGGTTGCTGTTGAGATGGTTCAGTGGGCATAGTCACTTGCTACCAAGCCTAATTCCTGAGTTTGATCCCCAGAACCTACACAGTAGAAGACAACCAACTGCCAAAAGCTGTCTTCTTACCTTCACATGCATGATGCAATATATATGTGCCTGCATTCATACATACACAGACATACACACATAAATGCATGTATATACAGATGATATTTTTAAATAATAAAAAATATTATTTTAAAAATTAAAAGTAAAGAAATAATAAAGGTGGAGAGTTATCTCAAGAGATGCCTGACATTGACTTCTGGTCTTCATACACATGCACCAATATGCACACATGCACTCAGACACACACATGCGCTCAGATGCATACACATACTCAGATGTAAACATGTGCACACATGCACCAATATGCACACATGCACTCAGACACACACATGTGCTCAGATGCATACACATACTCAGATGTAAACATGTACTCAGATGCACAGATGCACCAATATGCACAGATGCACCAATATGCACACATGCACTCAGATACACACATGCACTCAGATGCACACATGCACCAATATGCACACATGCACTCAGATGCAGACATGCACAGGCTCATTTAAACACGTATATACACCATGTACCCACACACTTACACCAACCTATTAACAAGAATACAAAATAATATGGTGTAGTTTCTTTAACTGGAATTTGAACAGATCTAGCCTTCATCATTTTGATATTTTTCTCCTTTCCCAAACATTTACCATTCTTCAGCTCAGCTGAATCACTGACATGCCCATCTCTGTCGATTCTTTGGAATTTACACATTTGATTCTCCTCACTCTGTAGGTCAAACTGCCCGAGTCTTTAAATGGTGATCCTCAGCTTCAGCCTCCCGGGTACCAGGGTTACAGGTGTACAGCACATACTTGACTCTACTTTCAAAATACACTTAAGTGCACAATGAGAGGCACTTAACAGCAATGGAAGTTCTACGGGATTCTCAGCCAGCTACCAAAAGAGTGACTTCCTCTTGCACTAAAGCCAAGAAAAGGCTTGAGTTTTGACCATCTGGCTAACTCCATCACTGGATTATAGGAATGTGGGTTAAAAGGGGTTTGACCTTTCATTGGCAACCTCTGTCAAGCAAAAACCAATTGTACAGAGGGATAAAGGTTGATAGGAATTACAGCTTCCATGTTGCTTTGGCAGATTAATGCTTTCCAGGCTTTCTTCATGCTTTTAGCAACAAAATAAATATCTTCCCTAAGTGTGTAACTTTTAACCTGCCGTGTTCTTTTGTAGGCATCATGGAAGCAGGTGCCAGTAACATCAGTCCTGCATGTAGCTGTCAACTGCCTGACCTCTTTGATAAGGCCAGATCGTTTAGTGTCTTCTGTAAACCTGTGACCTAAACTGCTCACCTATTCACTTCTCAGCACAATTTGATTCTCTGATGAAGAACAAAGTCACCACTAACATGTTTTCCTTTGTAATCTGTCTTTCTCTTAGTATATACATAGCCTTAAAATAATAAATGAAGAATAATTAAATACTTGTACGTTTCCCTTTCAGTGATTGGCCCATCAGTTCCTCCTGTCAATTTACAGAGCATGTTTCAATGTGGTCACTGTGGTCCAGGAGGAAAGGGAGTATGCCAGGAGTTACATAGTATCTCCCATCCCTAGGGCTCCTATGCCAGGAGTTACTTAATGCCCAACCCAAGGGCTCCTATGTGGATTTAGCCAATCCAAGAGCTCTAGGTTAGAGGCGCTGAGGCCCTCTTCTGAAGGGAAAAACAGCATGCTTCTAGAAGTAATTTTTGTTTGAAATATAAATACCCTATCCTCACTATGAACATTCACTTGACATTGTAAAGGGGTGTCCAAGCAGATCTACAACAGAGATGCTTATCTTTTTCTCCCATTGACCAAAATTACACAGGCTCTTTCTCCAAACACAGTGATTCTCAACCTTCTTAATGTTGTGACCCTTTAATACAATTCTTCATGCTGTGGTGACCCCAACCATACCATTACTGTTGTTGCTACTACTGTCGTTTTGATGCTGTTAGGAATTGTAATGTAAATATTGGATATGCGGGGTACCGGACAGACGACCCCTGTGAAAGGCCATTCAAGTTCCAAAGGGGTTGTGTTGAGAACCGTTGACCCAGACAGTTCCTACTTCTGACTTCCTGGTTCCTTGCTCCTTTCAACAATAGTAATGATACCAGCCAATGGCCACTAATCACTTCATATGAGCTGAAGCCATACTAAGCTTAGCATTGATCCTTAAGGCAATCCTGCTAACTTCCCCTATTTTGCATAGGAGGGATTTGAATTGCAGAAGAGTAGAATGACTTTCTCAGGGTCACTTGAAAGCAGAACTTTCAAAGCAGAGCCCACAGGCTGGGAATATAATAAAACGCTGACAAGACCTGACACTTGACTTTTTACTACTCACAAAACACTATTTCAAAGCATACCGGTACATTATAATTTCCCAGTAGCTCTGAATGATATGTACCGTTATCCACATGGTTAAGAAAACTAAGGCCTATACATTTATATAGTCTCCCCAAAGCTTGGCTAGCTATTCCATCAAGCCAAGGGTCTCCGTCCTCTCTTTCTATCCCCACCCCATACCCATTTCCCTCTCAAAATTATTCATCCTCTTTTTCTCCTTGCTACTCTGTTTCATATTTTGAAACTAATCTTTTTAATTATGTATATATGTATGTGGGGACAGGTGGGTGTGTGCCTGTGAGGAGAGCTGCTGCCCATGCAGACCAGACAAGGAACCTTGGAACTAGGGATACAAACACCTGTGAGCTACTCAGTGGAGGTGCTGAGAATTAATCTCCAGTTCCCTGTAAGGACAGCAAGTGCTCTCAACCACTGGGCTGTATCTCAGCCACTGATTCACTCACTGTCTGCTCCCCATCCCCACCACTACCCACCACTTTCTTATGCTTTGAAATATAGTATCATGAAATTATTTTATCTGTATCACAAGAGGCAACTAAGTGATTAAGTTTAAATTATATATATTTTCTGAGACAGGGTCTTTTCTACATATCCTGAGTTGTCCTGGAACTTTGTTTTGTAGATCCAGGATGTCCTGGAACTCCTGGAAATCCACTTGACTCTCCCTCCAGAGTGCTGGGATTAAAGGCTTACATCACCACACCTGGCCTTAAATTAAAATTTAAGACAAGATTAGAGAATATGGCATATAATTCCTAGACCTGAAACCTGAAACTGATATTAGTATGTGAAAAAATGATTTTTCACCGAGTGAAATGGTATTTTCACCGAGTGAAATGGTATTTTCACCAAGTGAAATGGTATTTTCACTTGGTTGGGCCACCAGGAGTCAAATATATTTAGAAGTCTGAGCACATGTTCACACATAGCAACTTTCATTTCCACAGACTTTGAAATATTCTCAAGTATCATACTGCAGATGGGTCCTTTTGTCTTCCGTTGCCCACAGCTGCAAGATGTTTCGAAGGCGCTTTACATGATACTTTGTTTCACTTCTGATTAAATCATCACATGTTTTTTTTCGGCCTGGTTTTGTCAGTGTTTGGAGGATTTATTTTTAGATACCTCATTACCTTTTGGTAAGTAAGCTAGTTAGTTTCATGGCATACATGTTTACTTCTTACTAACCTCTGTGGGGTTAATTTGTCACCATTAATAGCTGCGTTATTTTTTTTCTATTCTGTGTGGATTACACCAGGGGTTTCTAATAGGACCAAACACTGCCAACTACACTGTATTATCATCTTCTTGTGGGCAGTATATCTAATGTAGATTAGATATGCAACCTTTTGATGAATGTTATCAGTTTAAGAAATAACTTTTTAATTTATATTTTGCCAAATTTCTTAGCAAATCCCTCTGAAGTAACCTTCTGTATTTCATTTTCCCAGAAGAGGGAACCAACGTTTGGGAGAATTTGATGTGACTAAGAGGGCCTCAGTAGGAATTGTTGGGGCCAAGTTTGAAATCAGACTGTTTCTCTCAAAAGTCTGCTTTAGGCTCACTCCTAAATTTTTGATCAAGTAGTTTCTAAAGAGGGAGGATATTTGATTTTTGGAGAACAGAAAAATCCTTCTTCATCAGTTGCAGCCATTCTTTTGTATCTGTGGGGAATGGGGAGGCTGGTTCAGGGACCCTGAAGAGTCTAAGATCTACCTATGCCAAGTTGCTTAGAGAAACCACTGGAGTGATTGCAGGGTTTATATCACCCCGTGTTCTTTAAATAGCTCCAGGTTATCTGCAATACTTCATGTGATGCAAAGGCTATGGCAAGAGCCCCTGCAGTGAGTTCTGTAGAGAGTAAAAGGTATGTGTTGCTCATGGACAGATTTTCTCTGCTTTTGCTTTAGACTCTGACTTCTGCTCTGTGCTTGGCTGAATTCTTGAATATGAGCCTATGGAAGTGGAACTCTAACTGTAACCCCTTCATTCCTGCCAGTAAAGACTCGAACTTTCTGTATCAACTACAACCGTAACACTGCCTCCCGTGCCCTTACCTTTCCTAGTTATACCAAAAGAAAAAACTGTAGAGGCAGGGGTAGGATCGAATTAGGTCACTGCAACTTGGTAAGTCCCACCCCTAAACATCACCAAATCATGTCAGGGAAAGATGTCTGTATTACTACACATAGAGGAGAACCCATTCCGTGATGCATACATGCACCCTGAAATAGCATTCCTGGTTATCTAAAGTAGCCAATCAGCTTTCAAATCACAAATCAGGATAAATTCAGTTATAGAAAACTTATATCCTCAATCCTCTGGGATGTTAAGAACAAACCATGAGGTATGTTTACATCATACCCTTTCTGAAGATACACTGATTTGATTTGTGGATAAACATAAACCAAAAAGTCACTGAGCAGTGTAACTAAAATTGTTCCAGGTAGACTTCCAGAGATTACTGTGTCACAGACTTCCTTGGTAAGGTCCCCTGAGCTACCTGTTGCTTCTTTCACACTGATGGTCTGATTGTCACTGTTTCTGAGTACAAACAATTACTGATACTAGCTGTCTACACCCATAACACATGGGACATGCATTGGCATATTCAAGAGAAACAATGTTAAGCGTATATTTTAAGATTAAGATGAATGTTATTACCACCATCTGCAAAGCCGGTTGCAGTGATAATAGGTATAGCCACCATAATTAGTCCACAGCTGCTCCACACATACTTCATCAGGAATTGTTCTATCATGATGTACCATAACCGTTTGGATAAGATAAGGTTCATCTGATACGCTAAAGCCTTGTAACATTTCTGCAGTTGCTTCATTTCTACCTAAAAAGGGAAACAGATAAGAATGAATCCAGCACGAGCTATGGAAATAAACATTGACATTGCTTAAGATTCTCTTCCATGATGTAGATGTATTATTTTGCTGTATTTAGTATAGCCATTGTTGATACATTTCTACAAGAAATAAATGTAACTAGATATTAGAATTAGTCATAATTTAGTATTACTTATGAAAACACATTATCTGGTAAATATAATATTGTTTGAAATACACATAAGTGAAACAGGAGCATGGCTTAGTAGCACTAGCCTACTGCTGTCATATATAAGGTTTAATTTTCAACAGAGAGAAAGAAAAAGAGAGGGAGGAGAAAGAGAGAAGGAGAGGGAGAGACTTGTAATTATAATTTTAAAATTTTAAAAAGCTAAAAGTAAATTACATTTTATGAAGATACAAGTTAGCATTGTTAAACCCATATCATTCTTGAGAACATGAAAACTATCCAAAAAAAAAAAAAACCCAAACAAAACATGTATAATTAGACTATCTTGAATTGGCTCAATTTCGCAGATTTTTGTCTTTTAAGTGAAGAATCTACTAATTTACACAGAGTTCAACGGTTCAAAAAAGAACAAATCAGGACACAGCATACAAAGCAAATTCCAAGCAGAAATAGAGGTCCTAAGTTAGTTTAGATTTTTTTCCCTTTGGATTACTTCTATTATTGAGAAAAAAACAATGATAATTCTTGATGCTGTAAAAGAAACATTCTGCTTGGTAATTAAAATATATATTTAAATGCTTCGGTATATATTGCCAAACCATTGGTATTATATTTCAGATAGCTCCACCCCCAATTTATATCATACTCAACATTCTGAAGCCACTATGATACACCACAATTTTACATAACTGGGCTAATTATCCAGCTGTTAAAGATCTTTAGCATTTAAAAATAGCATCCTAGTGCTCCTTCCTATTCTTGTTCTTGCTAATCTTAGTTTTTACTCCTCTCCTAGGCAAAATTTAATTATCTCTGTCAAAATTCTGTCCTCAGCATGAGGTAAAAGGAAAGGAAAGGCCATTTCATTAGACCCTCCACTGTATTTCTTAATCTGCACACTGCCGTTGATCAGTCTCGCAAAACTGTCTGTATGGTTTTCTGTTTGAAAGCAGTTATCCCTCCTTGAACACAAAAGAACAACGAAGATCCCCTAACATCTCCATCTCAATCCAAAGGGGTTTACTCTCGTTCCCAAATGTGCATTTTCTTCACAAGGTACAGAACCCTTCACCAAGTTAGTCTTTAAGTTTGAAGAAAACGCCTTTGAGTTCATTCATTACAGCAGTATTCGAGTAACAGAGGCTACGTAGACCATTTAAAAAAGAACAGACACTTTATTCTCATAAAACTTCAGAAAAGTTTGGACTCTTTAATTCTCTAATGGCTGATGATTTAAAGGGCTAATGTATTTCGGCACGATTTAGCTACCGGAGGACTGTAAAATGCTCAGAAAGTGGGTCTGTCAACAAGACAACAGATGGTATCCTGCAGTGCAGAGGCTGCTCGAACAGTCTCACGTTTCACCCGTTGCTTTAATGTCTGTCTTACCTTATGTCCTCTGTAGAAGGCAATTTCCTCCACATTGGCTATGATTCTGGAGTGTACATACCGCAAGTAGCCCTTCCTATGGGCCTCTTCAGCCACCAGTGAACCAAATTTGGGCGAGCAAGCTTTCAGTACTTTAGCGGTGGCATACACCACAAGTCCTGCTAACAGGGTGGGTCCTATGGGGCTTGCTCCTCTGGATGTAGCTGTCCGGATGAGAGTATAGGAGGTTAGAATTACATCTAAAATAGGTTTGGTAAGGTTGGAATACAGGTGAGCCACAGACTGTGAGAACATCATAATGTCTTCAGTGAGAGACTGGTCAGGGTTTGCCAACCTCCCATCCATATTTATCACCTTATAATAAGTCTGATTTGCAAAATAGGTTTCGTAGGCATGGTCTACTAAGCGAGTTCTAAAGGCCAATGCCAGTTTGCACTCCAGGTACCTGATAGCGCTGTTGACAAAGGTAGCGGGGATAGCAATCATAAGCCACTTGATTAATTTGATGATGAAAGTCCGAGGCTTCTTTTCCACGATGCTTTTCACGATTTTCCCATCCAGACCAGCCACATAGATAGACAGAAATGTTCTTGAGATTAGAGCCACCGAGTGGAGGCAGAGCCACCCCGTTTCAGTGGTCACAAGTTTTGGAAAGAGGATTTTCCGAAGTTCTAGTAGCTGTTTGAAAAAATCTGCATTTAGTCCCGGCGCAGGTTTTTTACAGATGATCTCTGTGCAATGCAGTATTTCTCTGTTCTCTGCAGGCGGATAATCTTCTGCTTTCGCCTTCCTGTGGCCAGGCTGCTTTAAACGCTTGCCAATGATGGGATAGAGGGTTTTCAGAGCATATGCCGCAGCCACCAGGCAGGCAGCCCTTTTAGCAGCACCGGATCTGGTCCATTTCACCCGATAGGCTGCTGCATTTAGCATGTGTATCATTTTTCCAGCTACACAAATAGGTCTCTTTAAAAAGAATTCGTTTTAAAAGCTCATGCTCCGCGGAAAGCCCAACAAACGTTTCAGAAAACCTCACAGCCTCCCATGGTCTGCAGCTTGTCTCCTCTACTCTTATTTTTTGTTCTTCAGTGACGGATGCAGCAAAGCTCAAACTCCACCGCATCCAACGGGGGCGAGTCCCTCAGCAGCCTGAGCTGGCCAGGCTCCACCCACAGGCTTCTCATTGGCTGCGTTGGCGGTGAGACCCTGGACTCCTCGCCTCTTCCCTCTGAACCTTAAAAAAGAAGAGAGAGCCAAAACAAATCCTATACTTAAACAGGAGTTCAGAGAGTTAAATAACTATTTCTGGAGAGGTCGAATAAGGTCAGCTGCTGGAGAACAAACCTTCCCTTAGAGCTTCTGAGCATGCTCAGCGTCACTTAGAAACCCTCAGAAGTTTCAGAATATACATCCCGTCTCTGAGATTTCTACAAAGGGGAAGAGCAGAGGGAAAGAAGGCTAGCAGCAGCTTTAATGAGCCCAAAGAGAAAGAACCAGCGAGAGGAGGAGGGCGGAGCCTCAAGAGGATTAACGGACCGGCCTAGGGAAAGGAGTCAGACAAGAGTGATAGTGAAAGCCATAAAACAAAATAGCAAACACATATCCTTGAGAATGTTTTGTTCAGAAGATGTTGTCCCTCCAGCCCTTACTCCCCCGCCGTTCGCCCTTGTTCGATTTTATCAGATATTCGCAGAACCTACTAGATAGGTTGCTATTGAGGGTGTCCCTTGTAAATAAGCGGGAGGCGAGCTCCTGTATTACAGAAAACACCCAGAGCTCATCTCCCAGACTCCTTCGTACTAACTTCTCCTGATAGTAAAATTCTTTCTGCTCCATGATTATGTTTAACAATGTTCATCTGACATATTAATATTTGCCTACAAAGTGACTTAAAAATCTCTCTTAGTTTTTCTTTGGAAGTAATGCAGCTCTATAATAAGAATTTAATCAGCTGGGAATTAAGCTGGAATTCAGTGATGGAAAACGATTTTTAGGATGCATTTCTTCTAGACATTTTTTTCTCCAGTTTTCTTTAGGCTCAGAGATAATCTGCTGGCTTCTTTCTATGAACATTTTTGCTGTTTGATAAAAATCAAGAATGTTTAAAAATAATTCACATTCCAGTAATCCTGAAGGTGTACATTTAAGCCAGAGCCAGGCACAGTAAGTTAGAACTGCCCATTTTAACCTGCTAGTGTTATATGACCGTTAAGCCAAGAATCGTTTTATACTTGGGCCTTACTGTCCACAGACTCCTCCTTTTGATCCTTCCATAGTAGTTCCAGGGCAGGACTGCACTTTGACAGCCTCACCTCTGTCCTGATTTAGCTTCACATAGATCACGCCATAATAAAGAAGTGAAAGATGGCTACATGGTGGTTGTAACATCACACAGCTGGTCAGCTCTGTGTGTGTTACTAGTCCTCTCTGTGCTTCAGCTTTGCCATCTGTCTGTAAAATGAAAGCAATGCTATTCTATGATGTGAGTGTAGACCTTAAATAAAATAGTCAAATTGTTTAAAAAAAAAAACCATTGTATATAGAAGTCTGCAAATCTCTATGCTAGAATATGTGCCCCAATGTTGAGTGATCTTGATTGTTCATTAGACATGAGTCAACAAATTGCCTTTACGAAGAATATTTTTTAAAGCAGTGTTCTTTTAGGCTCTTTGGTATACATCTACTAAATCTAAGAATCGTTTGCTATACAGCGATCATTTATTGGCATTCAACTCAACAGATTCACCAATATACCAATAAAAAATATCTTTGGTATTTGGTCATGCTGTTAAGACTCCCTGGGGTGCTAATTAATACATCTATAACACATCTCCTGCACCTAGGGCCCAGGAAACAACAGGGTAGACGGGTGGGAAGATTAGAAGAGCCAGAGTACCAGAAAAATCTATTATGAAAGTATGTCTCCTAGAAATACCAGGGAAGCGTCACCCAAGATCCTTTAACTGCATAGCTGCTTCAACAGGGCCAGGACAAACAGGATACCAGAAGACATGCAAATATGGAAACAGAACTCTTAAGAAGACCCTACCCCTAGACGAAAAACTGCAAGCAACTAAGGAAAGCTAAGAAAGGGAGAAATAGGTTTCCCTAGGTGTGAACGAGACCCTTAACTTGTCACCCCATACTAAGTGCTCAACCATGAAATCATACACAAGCAACACTAAATGGACACACTAGGTCTTATTTATATATTTATGCAAGTGCATGTCTGTATGTGTGTGATGTACCTGTGCGCATGTGTATGTATGTGTGTGTAACAATAACAATTAAAGAAAAAGAGGCCATGAATTTAAGAAGCAATTGTAGGATATAGGAGGGGTTGGAGGGAGGAAATAGTTGGTGAGGATGAAATTATATTTTAACTTAAAAAATCAAAAATAATAAAGGACTTTCTGGGCTGTTATATGGTTTTGCATTTAAAGTGCTTGCCTAACACGCATGAAGCATTGAGGTTTTCAATTCTCAACACTGGGCAAGGGATTGATTTTTTTCTAAGCCCAAATGTAGAGATCTTGGAGTCATAATAGTTATTGACAAAATATTTTATTTCTTGGATCGTGCTATTGGAGCATGAAAAAAATAAGACTCTTTCACACACACACAACTAAATCACTTATGTCATGTCTTCTGGTAGCTAAACATAGAAGGGTTAACTGCAGCTGGGAAGGATAGGGGCAGGATATACATCACTAAGGTTAATGGCAGGATGTTCATTCAAGCTGAATGACTAGGTTAGACAGCAGCTGGCAGTTGAAGGAAATAGCATTCATCACTAGAAAACAAGAAGCAGCCATATCAGAGAAGGGGCAGTGATCAGAAAATCTAGGTCAAGGGAACATTAAAGAGGTAAGCTCATGTACACTCATGTGTTTGAAAGCTTGGTCACCAGGGAGTGGCACTGTTAGAAGATGTGGCCTTGATGGAGGAAGTATGTCACCAGGGATGAGCTTTGAGGTTTCAAATGCTCAAGCCAGGTCTTCTGCATCCTTCAGGTCCAGATGTAGAACTCCCAGCTACCTCTTGAGCACAATGTCTGCCTGTGTGCTACCATGTTTCCTGTCATGATGATTATAGACTAAACCTCTCAACTGTAAGCCAGTACAAATTAAATGTTTTCTTTTATAAGTGTTTCCATGGTCATGGTGTCTTTTCATATCAATAGAAACCCTAACTAAGACAGTAGGCCAGATAATAATATATTGGGGTATAATGGGGTAGCAGAAGCAACCTTTGAATTCCAGAGGTAAGAGACTTGTGAAAATAATTAAATAAGAAGAAAATAATCAAGACAAAAAAATTGGCATGAGAAGGAAGGTCGAAGGTCATTTATTAGTATTATGGAAGAGGTCAGTGTGTGGTTTGACTTGAGAGTCAGCTAGTTTATCACAGACCCAACTATAATAACGTAAACCTCACCATTATCCTCCACACACATGTTCCAAATAGGGGAGGGTAGGTCCTAAGACTTAAAACTAGACTCGAGGCTTCAGATAGGAAAAGAAGAATTCAATCTGAGAGAAAAGAAGACAGAAAATATGCCACAAAACATCCCAGTTAACAATGAATCACATTTAAGAACTGAAAATTTCCCTCTTGCCTATTGACATTGTATAGCCATAATAGAATAAAGCATTACTCATGCGTTTGAATCCACCATATAGTAAATAGACTTACTGTGCTCCTGGACATAATATAACAAAATACCATATGCTAGATTATAATAATAATGCTACTGGTCCAATTATTGTTGTGCAGGATACACCTGACTATTAAATGGCTTTTTAAGAAACACTACAGTTCTATACTTCTCATGTTAATTGTATCTCTTTGTCGTACACATTTAAGAGAACATACAAAATAATGTATACATTCTAACTAGTTCTGTGGTAGTCCACTTCATGTTTGGCCAATGATAAAGCCATTAGAATGAATCTCAAAATGTGTTTGTTTTGTTAAACAATGCATGGTTACATATTCTTTTAAAGTAAGACATTAAGATTGTTAGGGGATTTCTTTTTAATTTTTATTGAAAGCCAAAAATAAAGTTAATATTAGTTTGAGTTTCAAACTGGGAGAGAAAAAAAGAAGTGAAAAAAAATCACTTGTTATCTTAGTAAGCATTATAAATTTCCACTCAGGCCTCTAAGCTTAATGTAATTTCATATGAAAAATATTAACATTTTCTCAAGGGGATTAATAATCTGAGAAAAGTAGTATGATATTAATGTTTCAAATCTGCTAGTGCAGGAGGCTGGAAAGATAGCCAAGCAGTTAAGAGCACTCGCTGCTCTTACAGAGGACCCAGGATCCTAGCACCCTCATGGTGACACACAGCTGTCTAGAACTCTAGTTTCAGGGAATTGAATGTCCTCTTATGGCCTCTAAGGATATTAGGCATGAAAATGGCACACACACACACGCACGCAAAACACTCATGCATATAAAATAAAAAATAAAATAAAAATTTATTTAAATTTTTTTCTAAATGCAATTAAACCACTCTTCTCTAAAAAGGTGCTGTAGTATCATGGATCACCAATATTAAGTGCAGAGCTGAAAATCATATATGTTTATATATAAAATATGTTTCATAATGTATAAAAGAAACATCTTTCTAATGATGAGAACTATAAATATATAAATATATAATACAGTTTATGTTTTCATTATAAATCAGCAATCTTTAGAAATAAAAGATAAATTACTCAAGTTTTAAGAAGTCTGAGTGGGTCATTTTTTTTCTTTTTAAGAAATAGTAAATAGTATTTTCTTTGTACAATACTGTTCTCTTGAATAGTCCTCCAAACCCAAAAGAGTACCTAATTGATATACTGGCTCCTAAATAGTGGTATTTTAAACTAAATGTATCTCTTATGAGGCTTACTGACTGAAGGCATAAACAACACCGACGATAACATGTAGGTCAACATTTCAACTGTGCCCTTGTTTTCACAGAGCTATCATTTGCTGTGAAGGAAAAATCAGCACTAGCTTGTCTAAGTGTCTCTTAATGTTAATCTGTAACCTGATTCATACTCGCACTGCACCTCTATGACTAGGAACAAAACTCTAGTTAGGTAGAAAAGATAATTTATCTAGGTTTTCTGTCCTTCAATCTTCTCAGAAAACAAACAAACTTTTTGTTTATTT